GTTGGACGAATCGAGTGCTTCCAACGCTCAACCCTCTTGCCCTGGGACCAGAAAGTGGCAGGAGTGTGCTTTGGTGCGAATCCCTCACCCCTCTCCTGGACCATGCCAAAATGCCTCCTTATTGGTTCACGGCGCCCACCTCACCACCGGCAGCACCAGCAACGGCGGCTCTTGCAGAAGGAGCTCGCCTCTCTCCTCAGCTTCGAGCCATTTTCAAGGGGCAACTGAGCATGATGGGGGCCCAAGAAGAGACCCACTTTTGTGTTGTGCATTGCTTGCCCTTGTTTGCGGGCTTGGTGAACATTGCAGTCCGGTTCTCGATGTCGCGCGCAGCCACCACGCCCATACCTCAGTGCTCGACGCGAACCCTCCTCCTCACATGGAACCTCCACTCTGCCAGGTCCCCGCAGCAAGACTCAGCCTACCACTGGGGCTTAGGCATGCTGCTGCACTGAGCCCGTGTGGCGTCTTTAGCGTTAGATTGTGTGGCTGAGCCTTAGGAGGTTACCAAGTCCATGCTGTTCTCTACTGATGCTTCGGTAGACAGGTAAACCCAGACACCCCCAAGGAGTCAAGCAGTCCCTGCCCTGAGGAAACACCTCTGTGTAGTATTAGTACAACATATCATTTATACAATGACACTATGTAACCCTAAACCCTAAACCCTAAACCCTAAACCCTAAACCCTAAACCCTAAACCCTATGTATACTATCGCCGACGAAGAAAGGGGAAGAATAGATGCAGGCAAAGGAGCCCTTCGGGCCGAGGTCTTGGACCACGAACGCACCTTCCGCCACCTTCTCGCTTTTGAGAGGGGTCTAAGACTCAAGGTTTAGGGTTTAGGGCGTTTCCTAGAATCAGGATTTAACATAAAAGAACATTTTCCTATGTGTATAGTCCTTTCTAAACCTACGATGAATCCTACAACGGAGCCTTTTCCATAGACTCCACCAGGAGACACAAAGCAAAGAACCAAACCCTAAACCCTAAACCTCCACAAGGCCTCATATAGGGGTCGGAATAATTACGAGTAATATTCCCTTATGGTCCCTGTGTAAGAATCCCCAAGACCCCTATCCTCATTCTTCAGGCCCCTAAACCCTCAATAAACCCTAAACCCTAAACCCTAAACAGCGAGCCGATCTTTGGGTAGGCCTGGGCCGAGCTCGCGGCTCCCCCGCTAGTTGCGCGCAAGGCCTCAGGGGGGTTCTGAGGTTTAGGGTTGACTTAGGGTTTAGGGTTTAGGGTTTCGGGTTTAGGGTTCAGGGTGTAGGGTTGGCGTCAATCTGCTCCATGGAAGTGAAGCAGCTGTCTGAGGTTTCGGGTTCCGGGCTTTGGGCCGAGTGTGCAGGGGTGTTGGTTTCGGGCTTCAGGGATTTTAGGTTGGCCACCAGCCTAGCCGGGCTTCATTGGATTCGGGCTGGTTTAGGGTTAGGGTTTAGGTTTTAGGGTTTACGGTTTTTTGTTTTTTAGGGTTGAGGGTTGACAGGGGCTTGCACAGCAAGACCAGGTCTATGCCAACAGAAGCTCGGACAAAGCCAATGGCTTCAAACTTGCTAGGGAACACAGCCCGGCAAGCAGACGGCCTCGCGCACGTTAGTCCCCGGGCCCCTAGATCCTAAGTCTGAACTTTCTGGTGTATTCTAACCCTAAACCCTAAACCCTGAATCCTGAAACCTTAGCAGGAAGATATCATAGGATCGTGACGAACTTGAGGGTGGGCCCAGTGGCTCTCGGAAACAAGGGGTCTCAAAGAGCGAGAGAGGGATACACACGTATAGAAATACATATATATACATATACATATACATGTATATATACATATATGTATATATATATATATATTGTATTGCGACTACTAACTTCCTGGGAGAATGGAGGCAGCGACAAAAGGGGTCTTCAGTTTAGAGCTTAGATCAGCCCGCACGAGGGCGCCCCTGGCGCCATCAAAGTGCGGCAAAGTGTCCTGGCGTGCCTTGCTGGAGCGGCTCCTTCCGTTGTCGGCTGGGTAGGGTTTAGGGTTTAGGGTTTAGGGTTTAGGGTTTAGGGAGGGTTGAGGGTTGAGGGTTGAGGGTTTAGGGTTTAGGGTGTGGGATTTAGGGTTTGTTTTAGGGTTTAGGGTAGCACTCTTGAATCGCTTCCTGCAGGTGGGGAGTAAGATTGCGAGTCGATGCCAAACAGTTCTCCAAAACCAAATGCCACCAGACCGCCGCGATGTTACTACTCAGCTGCCCTCCAGCTCCTCGGGTATGCACTGTGATTGTGAGCTTTCGAATTCTTGCAGTCACAGGCCGTTCTCTGTTTAGTTTATCTTGGGTTCTGTCGCTCATCACCCGTAAAGCCGCAAATTGCTCAACGGCAGAACCAGCACTCAACGCGCCCAAACCACCGGAAGGCTTCGGCTACATCCTGACCCCTGAAGTGTACTATAAGGCAGGGCTTCTTATTACGAGAATTACAGTAACCAATAACACTAGCATGGACCCTACCTGATGTGGCCCGCACGTCCTCGGCCAGGACAGGACGCACAAAGCCAGCGCCAGGCTGCGCCCCTGCGCCCTCGAAGGGCAGGGGCTGGATCTTGAGAGGTCCTTGGGCACCCCACGTCTCATGTTCCCCCGTTGTTTTCGGAGGGCTGGAGGTGGCTGGAGGGGGTGCGGTATGTCCCTGCGTTGAGGAGCCATCCGGGCACCCCCTCTACCACTTTGGACCCAGTAGGGTCCATTTGTCAAAAGCGGCTGTGTTCGGCTTTCTGGGGGCTGAGCTGAGCGCGCAGCCACCCGAGCTTCGCCGCTCGGAGGTGCGGTGGGAGCCCGCGCTGCGAAGGGAAGCGCGCCGCGCCACGACGCGGCGAAGCCCATCTCGCTTAAGGGGGAGGATGAGACCCCACGTGTTTCCTCGTGCCCAAGTGTTTCCTTTTTCCCACCCAAAAATTATATGAGTGGACAATGACTGCTCAACCCTGAATCTCAAGAAGCTGGCTGAGCCCTTAATTTGGCCAAGACTTCCCCTAAACTCCTTGAGCATCTTCTCTTGCGGCAGTCATCGTAGGAGCCACGAACATGGCAACTTGCGCCACTCCCTGGTGGATGTTGGAAGGACGCTAAAGTATGTCATGTCACCCTAAGCCCTTTTTGCTTCAGGGCTCCTGAACCCTAAACCCTAAACCCTAAACCCTAAACCCTGATTTCCGGAGCTGGTTGTGGGGTTCGAGCTTCTGCCCGCTCTTCAGTATTCACCCGAACCGCTGTGAAGAAGGGATGCACGGTGCCAGGAGAATGCTTCATTGGATCGGATAAGGTAGTTCGTTGAGTAGGTACGTTTTCTTACATTATCGAGATTTCCGAAAGCGTTCCAAGGAACCACAGGAAATTTGCGAAAACTAGGCTAAGCTATGAAAAGCTTGCCAACGCTAGGACAAAGCTACGATAAGCTAGGATATGCTACAAATTTCCTTGGGTGAAGAATGTTTGTTGAAGAAGCTACCACTTTTTGGAGCTGCAAAGCTAGTCAAGAATTCTAGTAATCGGTCGGGGCGTGGGGTTTGGGTGTGAGGCTTGTGTGGCCTGGTTACTTTCTATGCAATCAGGAATACTGCTTCGTAAGACGCAGAAGCGAAGTTGGCCTTCTTCTTACCACCATCCTACGACATTCCTCCATTCCTGTCTTCAGGAGCCCTGGCTCGCTAAATCCTTCCTGGCCTCAGGCCCCGATCTGCTACGAAAGGCTGGTTTAGGGTTTAAAGTTTAGGGTTTAGGGTTTAGGGTTTAGGCTAGAAATGATTTTTTTCGGGCAAGGTTTCGCGGCCCCAGGCTAGTCGGAAGCAACTCTCAATTTTTCCAAGAGCCTTGGTGACAATAGATTTCCAAATCCCTCATCCCTACACTCTACACCCGACAATTGAGTCCACAGAATACCAGGGCTTCAGTGAAAGAACTATCTAGCTCCCTCGCTCGTGTTCCGAGGCCAAAGAGGCACCCAATCTACGAAGTCCCTTATCCGTAAGCTAGAATGCTACTGCGTCTATGCATCTGCAGCAGGACTTTCTGCAGCTGGAATACGGGGCTGATTGGTCAGAAAAGGGTCTCACATTTTTCCACAAGGAGGGCAGGCAGAAAAGGCCAGCTCGTTTTCACCGCGATGGCCGTCCCAAGCATCACAAAAAAGTCTCCCCTGCCTAGCTCTCAAGCGGCAGCGACATCGGCAGCTCGAAAAAAACAAAACGGGAGCTTGAAGCCTTTGGAACCTAGCTTGCTTGGGAAGCTATGGTGGAGAGAACACTTGCATGTGGGAGTTTACGAAAACAGGGGACCCTGACAATAGACCCCCAAATAGTAGGATCCCCTGAGAAAGGACCCCAATAAGGTACCCTTAAGCCAAACAAGGACTCTAAACCCAAAACCCAAAACCCCTGCATGTTGCTTACAAGTCCAAGACATGTCCTGACCGGTGCAAGGCGGGCGCTGTCAGGCCAGGCCAGCTGCACAGTGCCTGGCATGTTCACTAGCAACTTCAACTGCCAAACAAGGAACCTAAGCCCCAAACCCTAAACCCCTAAACCCCTAGACCCTTAAACCGTAAAAGCTCAAGGATTGCTTCCTGGATTGGCGCTGGCAGCACTGGCAAGGCGTCTTCGTCTAGTTCCAGGCTCCAGTTGCTTCTGGGTCGCCAGCGCTTGTCATTTTGCCAGGGAACCAAACCAAATTTTTGTCGGGTGGCGACGCAGCATTGGCAACTAAGGCTGCGCAATTGGGATGAACCAGCCTTCATCTGCGAGGCAACGTTGGGATTCAACATCCCTCACACAAGGCAAATACCATTCTTGGGTGAAACATGACCCTGCTGAGCTGAACCTCTCAGAAAGATGCTCGAGGGAGCCTCTCAGGGACCCTCTCTGAGCACATGGGCCTGTGTCATCGTCATCCAAAAAAGGTGCACAGGGCACCGGAAGTGTGCAAGGCCCCTGACGCACACTGTGGAGCGCTTGGGGTGCCGTAGCTCATTTCTCGCCCTCGCCTTCACCGTTGTTGGTCGGGGCTTCGTTGGCCTCGTTGAGAACCGAGACCTTCTCCCCTGCGGAGCTGAAAACGTAGTGCAGAAACTCGTCTGGAGAGAGCTTCCCGTCACCGTCCCTGTCCAAATCTTGGAAAAGGTCTTTGCAATCCCCTTCTTCAAGACCGAGTTGGGTCAGTACGCTCAAGAATTCTCCTTCGGAGAGCCTTCCATCACCATTCCTCGGATGGCCCCTGAACCCCTCTGAACAAATAATTCCTGAATATGAATCCTCTTTAACCCAAGAGAGGAAACATAAAAAGCATGTCCAAAAAAATGCCTAGCTAGATTCTGATCACACTTCCTGCATATGACTCTCTTAAATCCCATTTAAGGGTCGGTAACAAAAACATGTCCCAAACGGGGCTTAGCTAGATTCTGATCATACTTCTTGAAGGTGGCCTTCATCTCTCCAACGCCCTCCAGATCCATGCCCTTCTCTAGCCCGTCCAATGGCAATGACATGCACGCGACTTGGGAGGGACCGTCTTTGTGTGGGAACTGCACTTCGACTGCGGTGCACCACTCCGTGTCAGCACAGGCTTGAGACAGGCTGAGTACAACCCCGATACCCCCGTCCTTCACGTTGTCAGCGCTGCTGGTCAGTCGGACCCGGTCGTATTTCTGTATCTCGAGTTTCTGGAGATCTCCGGCGGCATGTTTGCCAGGTCCCTTCATCCACTTCACATCGACGATGCGCTTGTCATCCATCCGCAGCACTTCTCCAAAGCCGCCAGAGACCCCGTCGGGTTCACTGATTGTCACCCAGTCTCCTGGCTGAATATGGAAGAGTTGCAGCGCCTCCACTTCGAAGCTCCAGCTGCCTGCATCATTGTTGGGGTAGTATTAAATATGATGATTTTTGTTCCTTATTGGGTTTGAGAATTCAGAAGCATGTAACCATGATTTTCAAAGATGACCCGGCACTGCCTGTAGGGAAGCGGACTTTGAGCCTGCCCTTCTCTGGCTTCACCTTGATCACCTTGCCGACCATTCCTTCCGGAATGTCCTCGTCGGATTTCACCCAGGTCACCCAGCAGCCCACTTGAATCTCTGGGGCGCGCAAGCATTCTGGCCGGAAAGTCCAGGCATCTTTGGGGAAACCGACCCAGTAGCGGCCTTTTTCGGGTGGCCCCAAGACCTTGCCCAGGGTGCCTTCGGGCACATCGTCGTCCTTCTTGATCCAATGCACGCAATGGCCAGGTTGCACCGGCGCTCGTACGAGTTCCGGCCCGTTGAAGCGCCAGGCTCCGTTTGGGAAATGGACCTTTACCTGAGTTCTGCATCAAACCCTTTGAAAACGAATTCTGAACAGGTTAACTTATAAGGAGAGAAGGGGAATTCAACATGATCCCAAAGCATAAGCCAGTTACTTTGGTCTTCTTGCCCAAATCATCGACGACGACGCCAATGTGACTCGGTGGGATGTCTGAATCAGACTTCGTCCAGTAGACGCAAGTGCCTATTTGGAACTCGCACTTCACCAGCATGTCTGGAGTACAGGCCATACCACGCCCTGCAAATCGCACATGCAGAAGGCCCTCGCCATTCTGATAATGAACCCCGACCACTTCTCCAACGTCGCTGCCCTCCACTTGCAAGTCTGGGTCGAGAGTAGCACCGGGGTAAACATAGGTCCCTTTCTGGTAGCTGCACATGTCTAAGTCATTCCCCAGAAGCGTGATCGTGCCCTCACTGAACTTCACCACGAGAACCTCACCATCCTTGTCAATCACACGGCCCAAAGAGTTATGCTTTATGTCGTGGTGCTCTCCCATCAAGTGGACGATCTTGCCCACCGTGATGTCTTCGATTTCATCGGGCTCGACATCCAGCGGCATTTGACGCGATGGCGTGGCAACCCTATTCCCGAAGACAAGTGAAGTTCCGTATTTTTCAGCCAGACTTCGCCCAGGCACCAAGACGACCCAAGAATTCGCTAGTCTTCGAGCATGCTGTACCAAATCAGGCGGGTCCAAAAGACAGAGGCTGAGAGAGAGGGAGGGAGGTTGAGAGAGATAGATAAACATATATAAATGTACATAATGCACAAAATAAAGATGTAGATTGCGAGATAGCGATAGCGATAGCGATAGCGATAGAGATAGATATGGCTACATACATACATATATAATTATGTATATAGATATTGCCAAAGCGGCCCTGAGTTTAGATCAGCCCGCACGGGGGGCCCCTTGCACCATCAAAGTGCGGCAAAGTGTCCTCGCGTGCCTTGCTGGAGCGGCTCCTTCCGTTGTGTGCGATTGGGTAGGGTTTAGGGTTTAGGGTTTAGGGTTTAGGGTTTAGGGTTTAGGGTTTAGGGTTTAGGGTTTAGGGTTTAGGGTTTAGGGTTTAGGGTCTAGGGTCTAGGGTCTAGGGTCTAGGGTCTAGGGTCTAGGGGGGTTTAGGGGCTTTAGGGTTTAGGGGTTATTTGTTGCCACGCGTCTATCCAAGCCCACCGGGCAACTGCAGAGAGAATGCTCTGCACATTGGGTAGGGTTTAGGGCTTATGGTTTAGGCAGCTCAGAAGCCGGACGATAATTAGTAGAACTCGAGCTACACCCCACAATGCACTCACCAGTATAAGGAACCCGAAATGCACACACTCACCAAGAAGAGAAATACAAGCCCTGTTTCACATGACCCGCGCCTCCTTGACCAGGAGAGGATCCTCCCCTTGGTGCTTAAGGTGTTCCCCCGGGTTTTTGGGAGCGCTGGATACCTTTTGGCACTCGGAGGGCCCCCTACGAAGTGTCATGCAAAATAGCCAAGTAGCTGTTTGGAACTCCAGTACTCTGGAAGGGTTTGGAGACGCATCCCTACGTCCTCGGAGAGACCAGTGCTTCGGGAAACTCTGAGGGGCACCCTTGTTTCCATTATTTCCCTCGGACTCCGTAGGGTTCACTTCATCAAAACGTGCGGGATGTCGTCGGCTTTTTTTGGGGGTGCCTTTTTTGTCTCCACCCCTGAAGCATTGGGGGCCTTTTGGGTCTAGGTTGGGATGTTCCCCCTTATGCTCACAGTCCTTAGTATATTATTATTGGGGGCTACCATAATCTCTATTAAGGGCTGTTAGTCTAAGGGGGAACATCCCAAGGTTTAGGGCTTATGGCTGAGCTGAGAGGCCACCCGAGCTTCGCCGCTCGGAGGCGGGACGCGGCAAAGCGCATCGGCCCATCGCTCAGCCCTAAACCCTAAACCCTAAACCCTAAACCCTAAACCCTAAACCCTAAACCCTAAACCCTAAACCCTAAGGGGAGAGAAGTTGAGGCCCACGTGTTTTCCTTCGGGTTCCCCTCCCTCCCTCCTTCTTCCCCCCCAAGAAAATGCAACCCTAAAACCTAAACAGTAAACCCTGAATCTCAAAGCACTCCTTGAGCATCTTCTCTTGCGGCAGTAGGGACTTTACGAAACAGGGGACCCTTAATGTGGACCATCCTCAATCATAGGATCCCTGATGATAAGGACCCCAACAAGGTACCCTAATTCCGGAAACTTCCAGTTCTTGTAGGTGGCAACTTACACAACTTCTCGGTGGATGGAGTCGTCTTGCTTTTCTTGCACACCTGTTGCCTCGCCTTGACCCCCCCCCCCCCCCCCCCCCCCCCCCCCCCCCCCCCCCCCCCCCCCCCCCCCCCCCCCCCCCCCCCCCCCCCCCCCCCCCCCCCCCCCCCCTCTCCCCTCAAGACCGGTCCCCCCACATGAAACCTGAGCGGACCCGAACGTCAGAGCTATACTCCCCTTAGAACCTTTAAAGCAAAAACATTTTAATATTTTTTCTCTTGGGCTTTATATTGAAAACATACTTCCCAAGGGGGATATAGGGAGCCCGTTCGCGAGCTGGTTGAGGGGGTATGGGGCTCTCTGACACACAAATTTCAGACGCGGGAGGTTCGAGCTGCAGCACGAATTGGCAATGCGAGCGCTCCGCATGCTCAATCGCACCTCGAAAGTGAAACCCACGCCCTGCAACACGCCTCACATGATGCAGGGAAGCCCAATACCGGCCTGCAGTTCTCAAGGCCCAGGGAGCGCAGATTGTGACCGCGCGCTCTCAGCAGGCGCTCCCCTTGTGCTTCTCAAGCCGCATGGCTGAAGGACATGTCGAAGGACGAAGGAGTCCAGAGGGCTTACGAGACCAGCTCCTTCGCGCATGATGTTGACCTCGGAGGTTTTGCTACGACGCTTGGCAGGCGGTCCATGCTTGCAGCTGCCGCGGCCAACGTGTTGACGGGTGACCCCTCCACTGCCCCTGCACGATCCTGGACACCTGGGTGTTCGCCGTCACTGTCGGAGAACCGCTGCAATCTTGTTGGCGATCCACTCGTCCGACTTTTCGATGCAGTCCAGCCAGGAGAGGGACGGCTTGAACACCTTGTCGAGAGTTCCTTGGCCGCTTCATGCTGCGGCCGTGGAGGATAGACGTCTGTCATCTTCAGCGGAACAACCTGAAGGCCCCACGAGTCTGCATACGTCAGCTCCTCGAATGTCGAGTACTGGCTCGCAGTCTTCTCCCCATACGTCTCTGTACACACTGCCAGCAACACCCCTTGCTTCTGCTTGATCTTGTGAAGGTATCCGTTCACAAGCTTTCCAAAGTCAACGCCTGGACCAGCATCGACGATGTACACCTCATAGTGGCGATCGCACAGCATTCCGGCAACACGCCTGGCCATTTTGACAGCCGGCCGTGTGATTTTGTTGTTTTTCGCAGCTCAATACCTGCGATAATCTGTGCTTCTGCCAGGTGGTCTTGACCGGTGAGGGGGGTCAGCTCATGTGGATCGCCTGAGACGTTTTCCTGCGACGCTTGGCAGCACCATTCCTCCAACTTCCCACTGTCCCCCCAAAAAACTTGACGAGGTCCTCCTGGACGTACCCTTTTCTGCGACGGCCCGGTGTTCGATCCCGCTCAAAGCGGTCGCGGTCTCCGCAGCCTCTTCGCAACTTTGTCGGCAATCTGCTCATCGGACACACCAACACAGTCTTCGCGAGTAAGGCCCATATGCAGCACCTTTCTGACGAGAGCCTCCGCATCCTCATGCTGGGGTTGTGGGGGATACACCTCCGACATCTTGAGCGGCATGATCTCGATCCCGTTGGCATGAGCATATCGAAGCTCTTCGTATGTTGCCCACGGGTTGCCGGTGCACTCGCCGTAGTGTTCCGTGCAAAACGCCACAAACACCCCTGTCATCTTCAAGATCCTGAGAAGATACCTGTCGACGATCTTCCCAAAGTCATCTGGACTGCCCTCCACAATGTACACCTCATAGCCACGCCCTCTCAGGATGCTGCACACGTTCCGGGCAGTCTGCTCCACCGGGCCCTTGTCAAAGCGCAGGCTGAAGAATGCAAGCCGCGGACCAGAATCCTGTGAAGATTCATATTTTGGGTCTGGATTAGGGGTCCCGTATTTTCGTAAACCCCCATATGAGGTCGGGCCACGTGACGCCGCCCAGCCTCCCGCAAACCCGGGCTCCCTCCGGCCTGCGCGCACGAAGCCGCCTCAAACTTCTCCGGGCCGAATGCCTGCAAAGCTTCGCGACACAAAGCCTCTCATCCTTCAACAAAAGGACACCACACGCTGTGCTTCCAGCGGTCCCGGGTCGTGATTCTAGGCCCCCGGGCGCGGATTGTGACGGTGCGCTCTCTGCGCCGCTGGCGCTCGCCCTTGCGCTTCTCAATGTCAAGCAACAAGGCTTCAGCCTTGGGCGTGTGTGGTGTTGGGATTCCTATGCGCCTCTTCTGCACTATTTGAAGGGGGTGGGGTCAGCTGAGTTGTCAAGGGCTCGTGGCCCAGCTACGTAGATGATGCAGCTGCAGTAGACACATCAAAACAAAGGTGCACACAGCATGAACACCTCGTGTTGATCGAGCCTACCTGGCTGGAAGTACAAGCACTCGCATGCAGGCTACGGGCGCCAACGCTTGCCGAGCGACGCGCGCCATCACCTCTCGCGAGGTCATGCGCTCGCTGCCCAACGACTGGCCTCGGGCGACATCCGAATGCTGAAGGCCGTCTGACGCTTACTTCTTTTGTAGTTGCCCCTGGCATCGGGCACACCTATCCTCGCTCAAATTTTTCAAAACCCAGCCCTGGAGCAGGATTCATCGTGACACAAAGCCATGTGCGAGTGCCTGCAGAGAATGAGCCAGAGCTGCTCCTGGGGCTTGATGCCTCGCTCTTTGCGCACACCTAGCAGGCGGGGAACAGAACAGCTCACCGTGTCTGCCGGCTGCTGGCTTCTGCTAGCTTCTTTGGCTTCGGATTCCAGTAGTCTATAGCCTGCATCATGCCGTCTGCCGGGGCCGCGAGGTACCTGGGACTCCCAAGCATGGGGCGCGAGCAACTCACAGGCAGGAGCACGCCCCTGCCAAAACTTGCAGCACTAGGCAGGGGTTTACGAAAATAGGGGTACCCTTTTGGGAGTTCCCACAAATTTTGGGGAGGGTTGAGCCTACTTCACTTCTCCCACGGCATCGGGCGCTGACGACACACTATACAGACTATACATGTTATATATGTTGCATTGGTGAGGCGTGCCTGGGCTTGGATCTGTTTCTTTTGAACAATGAAATCTGCTTGAAATTTTCTTCACGTGTTCTTTTTGGGTTAATTTTCGGTGTACTCTGCATTCTGTTATTCTTTTTTCTCGCAGATGAGCGATTTCAGCCAAGAGAAAACGCCCAGGCCAACCACCCCAGACCTACCCAAGCCACCAGGCCAAGACCTGACCAATCCCTCAAAACACAGGCCAAGACCTGACCAATCCCTCAGGAACACAACCCACAAACAACCAAAGACACCAGCAAGACAACCCACAAACAACCCACACCACCAGGATCAGAACCCACAGAACACAAAAGCCACCAAGCCACCGTCTATGGCCCAGCAAAAAAAAGAATTACACTATTTTTTGGGGGGTAGTATATATTGAGGATACCCCGTGCAGCACAAACCTTCGGCCAGACAGCGATGCCTTGAAGCATATCCAGTCCAAGCTGCAATTGCTTCTCTTCGGGGGGTGCCTCCTGGTAACCTGGGCAAGCAAAAACTTGAGTAAGTGTGGGGGGCCCTATAAAATTAATATTTTCTGGCATTAGTATAAGGAGTATATAAGGGATTCAGGGTAACAAACATTAAAACTTATGTTCAAACCCACCCCTGAAAATAGGGTATTGCCGGGACTGAACGGGACTGACGTCTGATTCCATGGGCATCACGGCCTCCACCAGGGACCCTCAGCCATCCCCTCCCCCCCCCTCCCCCCCAGCTGTTCTCCGCAAAATTTACAGAGGGGGATCCCACGTCACCTGAAGAAGGGGGAGAGGGGGGGTGCAGCTGCCTGCGAGGGCACGCACGCACACACAACAGACAGAGGAAGAATTCGAGGAGGATCTGCGGTGCTCTGAAACGTGCCTCGGGACCTCCGTGACCGAAAAATCCGAAAACTCGCTGCGACAGCAGCATCTTGTGAGATGCAGGGGGGCCCGGCCAGTGATGCGTGTGTTTGTGGCCAGTCGCATTGACAGACACTCACTGCTCTTCTTTGTTAGTATTATTATGCTTAGGTGTTGTCATGACTCTTATGCCTACTAGCTCGTCTCTGAATCAGATCAGCAATCAGGCTACATACAAGATCAGCGAATGAAGGGAGCAAAGCCACAGGCACATGTGAGTGGCGCGGGTCTGCCCACAGGAACAACCACATGATACACCACAGAGTCATAATAGATAGCTAGGAGAACAGTTGATACGTAGAAAATGCGCTTCAACCAAACAAAAAATCCATTTCCAACATGGCTGTCACTCATGTCTGCTGGGCAGCTCAACGTGCGTTGAATGATCGAATCGCTGTCGGCATCTTTCAGTCGCAACTTAACCTCAGGAGGCGATGGTGCCGCCCATGAGGAAGTGGATACGACGGGAAACTCCTCAAAGTTCAAAATCCCAGGCTCCGCGTTCGCGTTGCCCGACGGGTCCGGCCAGGACAGCTCCAGAAACTGCTTGTGCGAATACGTAGCAGTCTTGAACAACGGCATGCAGGGCCTGTAGCCCTGCAACACGTCGGGGTCTGCCAGGTACTCTTCAAGCATGTCTTCGCAATTCTTACAGTTGGCATGTGTGATGGTCCACTTGGCGGTCTGTTCCTTCATGTAGCCTTTGATCTTGATGGGCTTTCTCACGGGTTCGGGCGCGCCCGCCACCACTTGACAAAAGTGGTCCAAGCTCAGGATGGCGTGGCCGGCGCTGAGCCGGGCGTCCACGAGCTCCTCCCAGCCAGCGTCCGAAGAGCGCCAGACCTTCGTGGCCCCAACACAGACAGGGAAGATCAGCAGCACGGGCTCGTCGAAATGCATTCCATGTGGGTGGAGATCCAGCAATGGGCTCAGCGCTACGGACATCTCGGGCAGCGGCATCGACCCGGGTGCCAGAGTCTCCATGTGCAAGGAGTGGGCTTCGAAGTTCTCGGCCTTCGTGACCATCACGGCCGAGCCATGCAGCAACGCGACATCGCCGGCGCGCAGCTTCACCTGCAGCCCCTCGGCAACGTCCAGCACGCGCTCCTTCACATCCGTGCATCCTGCCACTGTGAGCTCGGCCGCCGCCTGCAGCCAAAAGAGAGCCCTCATCTATTCTGAATTCCCAATGATTAGGTTGGCTCGGTCCCTTCTTCCTGAATATGCCCCCCCCCCCCCCCCTTTTTTGCCTGGAAAGGGTACCGCGGGCGATCGCAATCTGAAAGCGGACGGTTCGCCAGGACAAGGGGCAGTTGAAGCCCCGCCTAGCAGCCCCCTTCCCACCTGCTCCCCCCCCTGCCCCCCCCACCACCCCAGTTTTGGGGCACCTGGCTCAACTTTACGAACCCAACACAAGTCCCAAACCCCAAACCGTGAACCTTTGAGCCCTAAGCCCTCAACCCTAAACTAACCCTCAACCCTATTAAACCCCAAACCATAAACCCGGAACCCTAAACCCTAAACCCAACCCTTATTGCTTGGGGTACTTGGGCGCTGCGGAATCACCATGCTCACGCGGATGCGCTGGGCCGGGCCGAGGTGGGTCGCGTAGCGTTAAAATTATGGTCCAATTATAGTTCCCGCTATGGGAAGCTTTATTTTGTTGTGAGACCAATGATATCGAGAACTGCCCAAAGCATTTTGTGCGGTGTTCCGGGGTTGAAGACTCTGAAATTCTGTACCCTGAAGTGCACCTATACATGCGGCTGTGAGGGTTATCGCAGCGACTTTGCAATGACTGAACTTCCCTCTTGCCTCGGACAAAGCCTCAGGCACGGAGGCGCTGGCCAAAGCTGCAGACGCTTTCTCTGGGCGAGTGGTCGCCACTGATTCCAGGTGCTGGCAAGCTTGCTCGGCAGCCGCCTGCATGGCCTCCTTTTTCACGACCTCTACGTGATTCTCCACGGGTGTTGATGCGCTCGCCAAAGCTGCAGACGCTTTCTCTGGGCTAGTGGTCGCCACTGATTCCAGGTGCTGGCAAGCTTGCTTGGCAGCCGCCTGCATGGCCTCCTTTTTGTTCGAGCAAATCTTGCCAGAGAAGCTTTGCTCGGAGCCAGTTCCTCCATCAAGCCTCACCACCACTGTGCAAAGAAAGCCTTGACCTGGTCCTCTTGGCTCGGTCACAGCATACCTCAGAACATCCTCGGTTGTGGCTTTCCTCGTCCTCTGCGACACAATCACTCCCAACTTTGACTTGTAGTCTTTGGCCTGCCTTCCGCCATCGGCCACGACCTCTACGTGATTCTCCACGGGTGTTGATGCGCTCGCCAAAGCTGCAGACGCTTTCTCTGGGCGAGCGGTCGCCACTGATTCCAGGTGCTGGCAAGCTTGCTCGGCAGCCGCCTGCATGGCCTCCTTTTTCACGACCTCTACGTGATTCTCCACGGGTGTTGATGCGCTCGCCAAAGCTGCAGACGCTTTCTCTGGGCTAGTGGTCGCCACTGATTCCAGGTGCTGGCAAGCTTGCTTGGCAGCCGCCTGCATGGCCTCCTTTTTGTTCGAGCAAATTTTGCCAGAGAAGCTTTGCTCGGAGCCAGTTCCTCCATCAAGCCTCACCACCACTGTGCAAAGAAAGCCTTGACCTGGTCCTCTTGGCTCGGTCACAGCATACCTCAGAACATCCTCGGTTGTGGCTTTCCTCGTCCTCTGCGACACAATCACTCCCAACTTTGACTTGTAGTCTTTGGCCTGCCTTCCGCCATCGGCCACGACCTCTACGTGATTCTCCACGGGTGTTGATGCGCTCGCCAAAGCTGCAGACGCTTTCTCTGGGCGAGCGGTCGCCACTGATTCCAGGTGCTGGCAAGCTTGCTCGGCAGCCGCCTGCATGGCCAGATTCAAGCCGTAGGAGTCTGTAAAGCAGTTACCCTTTAGTCCCCTCCAGATTGCACCTCTTTATTTGGCACTTTTTCGCCTGGAATGGGTACAGCCCACCCCCCCCCCCCCCCCCAACCCTACCCCCGTCACCCCTGCCGGCGCTATGCCATGCACCGGTTGCACAGTCTCGGGGTTTGAGCTTAATCATGCCATTTGCAGGTTCACAACGTATCGAGAGGAAGGGTATGAGGTTGCGGGCTCAGGGGGTGCTCTGCATATCATCCTGGCATATAAGCTCCTGTGTGGACCATGACAGCGTGCGTTGAAGACTTCCTGGACCCTTTCTCTGGACCCTTCAGCTCAGGACCCAGAAACCCTAGCGGCCCTAGCGCCATGTCAGATACGCCACTCTTGTGACTGCTCTGCCTGTGACAGCTTCTCTGTAGTTGTATGTGCTTTGACTACATACACAGCAACTGTCGTGCAGGTCACATAGGCGCGCGGCCGGCTCTTGGCCCTGCCGCCTAGTTACGATCAGACTTGTGGGCCAACCTGACGGAGTGACCAACCCCCACTCCTCTATAAACCCTACCAACCCTATAAACCCTATAAACCCTGTAAACCCCATAAACCCGACCCCCTACCCCCGCTCCCTTACCCCTCATCGGCAAGATGCCTCCGCCTTTTGAAAGAGCAGACGCAGAGGCACTCGCGAGGAATACGGCGCAGCGGCCAGCCTTGCGTGCCGCTCCTACTTGAGGAAAGCTGTAAGGAAACAGTGCGCAGCGTGTCCAGTGTTGCCTGCAAGGCCTGCGAGCTACCCACATACGTATGTGTATATATATATATACACATATTTTTCATATATTTAAAAATCATTAAAAAAATAAATAAATATATAAATTTAAATATAAATATAAATGTATATATATATATATATATATATATTTATATAAGTTCTACACAGCAGGTATAGGTCAGGTCCGAGCTTGCATCTGAGAAACGCTGCCATGTCGGACAAAGCCTCCACCATGGGTTGCAAGCTTTCGTCAAAGTCTGCGCGTGAGTCGTAGGCCTCACAAACGGACGTCCGGCCCTGAGCCGGGTCAATGTCAACAATATCCAAGAGGTCCAGCAGTGTGTTCGACACCGTGTCAGTCACACCCGTGACGATCCTGAGCAGGACGCAATAGTTGTCTAGCACCCAGCTGACTGATCAAGTGAAGAAAAACTAGGAGCTGTTAAACTACTGATGCCGGAAGGCTGAAGGACAGTGACCCCGACGGAGTAGACCTCGCTCTTCTGGTCGAACTTGCGGGTGGTTATGTAGTGCCGGCACATGAACCCAGGCGTCCCCTTTGGGACCTCGTTTGCGCAGTCCATCTCTCGGAAGGGTCTTGACAACCCGAAGGCAGTGAGCTTGGGCGTGAAGTCTTCCATGAGGACGACGTGGGCGGGCTGGACGTCTCGATGATAGAACTGCTGTTCGTGCAGGTGCTGAACTCCCGCCACGATTCCACGTGCAATCCGGACGCGCCAGGCCCAACCCAGCTGCGCAGCAAGCTCGTCTTCCCGCAGCGTCCTCTCCAAGCTTCCCTGCTGACCAAACTCGTAGATCAGCACCGTGTCCTCGTCGCCACTGCTGTAGCCGAGGAGGCGGATGATGTTCGGGTGAGTGACGTGTGTCAGCGTGTCGATCTCGGCCCGGCGCATTCGCTCCAAACGGTGGCGAGCCGCGATGTCGTCCGGGCACCGCTGCCGCTTCACTGCAAAGTGTGCAGCTTCAGTACCGTCCTTGTCCACGCCCTTGTAGACTTTGCCATATGCTCCCTCCCCAATCATCTGGCCGTCCGACCAATTCTCCGTGCACCGGACCACGTAAGCCAGGTCCACGTCCGCTACTTGCTCGCTGAGCAGCTTCTCGAGCTGCGTCTGCTGCAGCGGCCGACGTGGAGCCACATCTCCAGCTTGTAGACGCTCTGACAGCACCTGGGGGCAGCAGCGTTTCTGATCCCAACATCTTGCTGTCACTTCCGATGCCCTGCCGACTGGGTTTTCGGGCGGCAAGCATGTGTTCACAAGAAAGCCTCTCAGGCCTGATTCTGGCCGTGTGGCATGTAGCAAAAGCAATCGAAATCTTAACACACAAGCCCAATTATAGGGCTCAAAAAGGCGCGCGTTACGCTTTTTGACGTTGGCCACCTTCAGATCGACGCGCACCCCGGAGTCTCGCAGGTGCAACGTCTGAGTTCAGGGATTGAGTGGCCCGGTGGCCCCAAATGCCACAAACAAGCTTCGCGGTTTGAGTTCGATTCCCTATGCTGCCTATTCCCCGAGCTGTTGTGAGGGCCGGATTCCCACACCCTCCTCTGGCACCTCCAAGACTACAAGCAGCCTGCATGGATCTACTGTTCATGCAGCCCCGCACTTTCCAGTCGGCCTCCCATCCGCTCAGAATCCCAGCGCCTCGGTCAGCCTGTCCATGCAGGACCCTCAACCGTCCTCAGCCAAAACAAGACCCAACTCCCAAGCCTGGAGCTTGCTAGAGAATTGGTACTCACAGTGGGCATTGGAGACGTCGGCCCTCTAGAAGCGATACATGTGCTATCCGAAGAAGCCTGAACTTCACCAATGCGGGCAACAGACGCACCTTCTGTGATATACGGAAGACCAGCGGCCTCATTCTCCTCTTCCATGTACCACCAGACACTGCTCCCTGCTTCCACCCTCTTCCAACATTTTCCGGTCACTTCCGATGCCGAAGTGGCATGTGAATCCATGTGAATCCATGTGAATCCTTGCACAAAACATTCTGAGGCCTCTGTTTTTGGTCCCAGGTCATGCCAAGCCCCCTGCTAACATGTCTCGCAGATGGGCAGACCTTCAGGTCAACGCGTTCCCCGGTGTCTCGCAGGCGGCTCCGCACCGCCTGAGCGTTAGGAGGTTGCCCAAAAGGTTTAGGGTTTAGGGTTTGAGTAGGGGGTCAAGTTCTTGTCAGCCCTGCGCCTAGTGAAGCTACAGTGCGAGATGCCGGCTGCGGAACAGGGTGCGTCTGAAAGCCTACAAAGCATGTAAGGTAATTATAGACCATGTGCTCTTTGCGAAGCCCCATGAAGCCCTCGTGCTTTCCCATCGGCCTCCCATCCACTCAGAATGCCAGCGCCGCGGTCAGCCTCTGCGCGGACCCTCAACCCATTCCACAGGGTTCAGGGTTTCGGGCTCTACAGTAACTGCATATGGAGATCCCAAGTAACCAAGCGCAGAGTCCAAGCCTTATGCTCCTCTTCCATGTACCACCAGACTTTGGGCGCACCCTCGTCGTCAGGGGCCAGGCCCACGAGAGTGAAACGCACCAGCGGCTTGTCCTGAGAGGTGCGGGCTTTGATTTTTTATGTTTGGAAGATCTGGTCTAGGGTTTGCAGGGGAGAGAGATTTGGAGGGCTCTTGATTATCGTGGCTGTCACCGGCTAAGCAAAGCAAAACAGCCTCTACAGGCTCTGGACAGGCGATGCAACTGCAAAGCCAGGCGTCCGAGAGTGTCAGCACAGTTCCTGGGACCCAACCGCCGGTGACCCGCTGCACCACCTCGGGTTGGGAGGCTGGAGTCACCATCGCTTGAGATCCCTCACTGAATCCTCTCAGCTGGACACACCACAAACACTACAAACTTCAAGATCACACCCACTCGCCTCTTCCCGCACGTCAAAGAGATCCAGTTTGGCCTGTCGTGGGGCTGACTGGGCTTGACCACTGGCCTGGAAATCTGCTACACCATCTCCGTCCGGTCGACCTTTCACTTTGCATTGTGCTCTGCTAGGCCTTGTCGTTGATATTGACGATGCAGAAAGGCCAGATGCACACGGAAACAATCGCCCCAGCACACACAAATACAGCCACCCACCCAACACACACATGGAACCGGAGCCAACCTCCTGCAGCCAGCCGTGAGGGCTGCGAACTGTAGAACTGCCCAACTTGAACTAGCCTACGTGACAGGACTTCGCGACTTCAAGCGCCTGTAAAACAAAATCTTAAGTAAACACAGCGCGGAACTCTTGAATTCCATTGCCGAGCACCTGGTTCCTACCGCGTGGGAAGGCAAAGTCCAAGCACATCTGCCCCGCGAGGCTCGCGAGGATGCCTGGCATGCAGCTGCGCGTGCTGCGCGTGCTGCGCGTGCTGCGCGTGCTGCGAAGGTGTCAGGCGAACTGGACTAGCCCAAGCCTCTATGGGTTTCCAAGTCCCAGCCAGAGGGGTCCTTCCAAGAGTCACAGCTGGAACCTTCCATTCGCCCGCTAGTTCAGGGATCAGTAAGCTGCACATCGGGTGGTCGGAGCATGTTGTCCTCCGGCGGCAGCAGGTCCCGGACTGGCTCATTGCCAATGCACTTAAACCTGCTCGAAGTGGCTTTGTCTCAACTCGACTTCTGGCATCTGGGTTTTGCACCCAACCTTCCCAAATGCTGGTGCATGGCACGGCTGATGCCGGCACCTGCGCGGGACTGCATTGCTCTGGCCCTTGTTCCTCAAAGTTTCCGCGTGACATAGCCACACCATGCCCACCCTGTGCGGCACAACAGCTCCCAAGCCCTTGAACTGCCCTGAACCCTCGCCTGAGGAGGACTCCACATGAAACCACACGGAGACATTGTCCAAATGGTGTTTTCCTGCCGCCTGGTGCTGGCCGCTGCACTGGGCGCTTAAGATGCTTAAGGCTCAAGCTGCGCAGCTGCGCCCCCTCGCAACCCTAGACCCTGTCTGGATCTGCTGCTATCTTACTATCTTCTTCCGTCTGCTGTCACCTCGTGTCCGGGTAGTCTGGCCACGCCAATGCACGTCATCTGCTCGCCATCTGCCCGATCCATAAGTACGTCTCCGGACTTGAAGGGGAGCTTGAACTTCGCGATCATCTCCTCCCGGGCAGCATATCGGGGCTCAGAGTGGTGAAGCTTCGCTAAACGAAAAAATAAACCAAAGGCCCTGGCAGGCCACGTCGGACGCTTCAAGAATTTGGTTGTGGGTTTGTGCTGCGTCTCCGTGCGAATGTCGACATGCAAGGGCTGGTCGTTCTTTGTGATGTAGCGTAGCGACGGCGCCAAGTTGTTTTGGACCCACTCCTGAGGGTCGACAGTACGTCGGAAACACTGTTAGATTGGGAATATGTGGGTTCAGGGTTGGGTAAGACTTGGGCACTCTGGGGCAGTGAAGGAAAGTTGTTTGCAAGGGCTCTTATAATTCAATGGATTGGGATAGGGTCCCAGGCGTGCTCCTGCTCGTCGTGTTCAATCTCGTCATCTGAAGCGCCCTCCAGGTCCTGGCGCCGAGCCTCCTGAGCCCCAATACAAATTCATTCCCCCGCACGACTCATTTTGTATACTGCGATGTACTGGGTCTCGTTCCGGTTCGACCTCTTGTGGGCAACTTGCAATCTTTTGGACCCAGCCACTGTTTCGAACAAAATCGCCAAATATCTCGGGAGCGGATGTGTCAAATTGAACGGACATGACACGAGCTCACTAGCTCGTGTTGCCATCACCACGGATTGAGCCCAGAGCACAAGTGGGAGGACTGCATGTGTCGAAACTTGAGGACCGAAGGCGGCAGGGGGTGGGGGGGGGGGGGAATGGGTCCTGGTCCAGAGCCCGCATACCTGGGAACCTCGCCGCGAGCTCCAGCACTTTGCGCGGGGTAAAAGCAGGACCGTGCGAGAGCTGCCGTCTTGTAGCTGCCTATAGTATAGATCGCTAGTAATCATACGGGCCTATACGTGTGTTTTAGTGTCCCGTTCGTTCACTACAACCGTCCTCTTCCAAAATCCTGTCTCGAAGTTAAGGTCTTTTCTCTCATCATCAAGGCGGGGATTGTTAAGTTAAGCCATCCAGTGAAGAATCCTGAGTTAAGACCGTATCATCCGGGAACCTGGAGCCCTTAGTCATATTCACTCACCGTAAAAGATCTGGAGCTGCATGAGTCTTTCTATGTGATAGGAACTCTCTTGACAAGGAACCCGCCCTCTGAAGATAACCTTAGTATCCCCTTTGCCGCTGGACACAATACCCAGTTCTTTCTAACGGTTACAATCACAAGCCCGACAGCGAGGAAAGACTCCTGATAATATAACACTTTGCACCCTTGACCTGGGATATCTTCATGAAGGTTTTCCAGCTGTAACCGTGTAACACCTGGGAATCATGAGCCAAAGGTCCTGATGAATGACGTCCATCGAGGAAAGTGTGGGGTGATAGTACGCAAATCTTCACTGAAAAGGCAGTGTGCGCGGGGGTTCGGTGTCGCTTGCCCGATACTTGGCGGGTTTGGGGCGTGACCTCGGAACTAGCACCTGGGCTGGTCCAGCACACTATTTGCAAAGCCAGCGGGGGGCCTAACAACCGACGCTGCCACGCAACATTCGGAGAGGGGGGTGCGTGTTCTGACTTTCAGCAGGTCAAAAGTGGTGCAGGCTCCGATGTAGAACCCATACCCTGCAAGAAAAGGGGGCGTGGCATTTCCGTTGCTCTCAATTACGCTACAGATACCGGCGCGGAGGATCGTCAGGAAAGGAGATGCATAAAGGAGCACGGTCGTGCGGCATGTGTTGGCATGGAGCGGAGCTATGGCAAACCAGGTTTCGTTCGAGATTCAAGGAGGCGCATGCAAAGAAAGCCTGGGCCTAATCATTTCACGATGGCCAGATCTGTGCATGTATCTGGCGTGTGGCTCTTGACACAACGATGCGAGTTTGCGTAGGGTCATGGATCTACACGAAGTGCCAGAGCTAGCGAAAAAGGTTGGCGACCTGCAATGCGCCAAATTTCTTGGTTCAGCACCAAGATCCAACCAGCGAATCGAACAAGGCACGTGGCAACCATTCCACGCATCTACAGATGGGCTACAAATTGCCTTCGGTAGACTGGTGCAGTTTGCTTTTTCTCTATGTCTCACTCTGCGATTACCAACCCTCGGATCGCAGGCCGTTCCTTGACCTCAGTCTTGCCGACCCGCTGCAGCTCACGATCAAGGTCTTCTCCCTGAAACAAGCCGGCACCGTGACGGGTCTCAGCGTGGAACCACATCTCGACCTCGAGGGCGCAGGATCACTTGACAAAGTTGTCCCGCGGTCTACCACTTCAGGCTTTGAAGCATTTTGTCACTTGGCCTTGCCGCTTTGCGCATTGTACTTGAGGCCGATGCACGTACTCTTCTTTCCCCCGGCTTTCGGACTTGTGACGATGTCCCCAGGCACGAAGTCGGCAACTTTCAGACATGCCTCTGGCCGCACGTCGAACTTGGCGTAGTGAGGGTACCGGGTTCCGCAAGGGTAGCCGAAGGTGCACTGCAAGTGATGCAGCTGCAGGCCCCCCTTCGGCACCTTTTCCAACGATGTGACGGCTGGGTCCTCCAGGCAGTGAGAGAGTCTGGCCGCATGCGCCAACACCACGGACACAAAGCTAGGACCTAGGACGGCTGAAGTCGAACGTCGATGCTGATATATTCTGATGCCGTCTCAGACTTATCCGTTCTCATTAGCCCTGGAAGGTCTTGAATGAGTCAGGTCCTGTGGAAACGCAAACATGAGGTCATGCGCAGAGCTGCTGCTGGAACCCAAGCGGTAGTTCTTGCAGTATCCAGTGGCCTCTACAGGACGGCGGCACATCAAGTATGTGTAGGCAGGTATGTCAGTTCATCTACAGGGTACCCTGAATGCCTTTCATGTCTAATAACGAGACTTAGCTCCCCCTTCCCGAAGCTCTTCACAAGCCCCGCGAAATGGCTTGGTGCGCCGGCCGAACAGCCTGAATAACCATGAAGCTTTTCCTGTGACCACCTCTATGAACATTTCCATAGGTCATCGAAGTTGATCTAACTCCTTGCAGCTCTTTCTAGTCTTCAAGACCTTACAACTTACTAGCTCCCTGTCAAGTCTTACGAACCTCACGGAACCAAGCAGAGTCGGATTGGACAAAGGATGGAGTAGCTTCGGGGCTTTGGAAGTCTCCAGACGTCTAGGACAATATGCGAACAAGAAGACCATGTGCTCTTAACCTTGCACTTGAGAATCTTGAGAGTGATTGTGGCAGCACAAAGTTCAAAGTGCCTTTGAATTTGAACGACAACATCTCCGTGGGATGGAACTGCAATGTCCAGCAAGGTCCAGACAGGGAAACCCTCAGGATGAGCAGCTCCGCACCTTCCACTGTACTCGTACCCACCCACCGTGTGCCGGTACTGCATCCTCCGCGCCAGAAGCCTGTAGACAGAGCGGGCAAGATTCCCTTTTTCACAACTAAGGCATTCAGGTACTGCTCGGAGGGAAGCGGGCACAGCCAGCAGGGCAGCACTATAGAAGGCATCTGCAAACATCCGCTCTTGCAGTCCCTAAACATCCGCGTTGCTTGAGATGCTTGCTGGACGAAAGGTACTTCGAGACTCCTGTACATATGAAGCTAAGGCATGGGGGGGGGGGCGGCTCGGCCTTTCCATCGGCGCATCGCCAGCCAACCACAAAGCCAACGCTCTCTCTCTGTCTCTGTCTCTGTCTCTGTCTCTGTCTCTGTCTCTGTCTCTGTCTCTGTCTCTGTCTCTGTCTCTGTCTCTGTCTCTGTCTCTGTCTCTGTCTCTGTCTCTGTCTCTGTCTCTGTCTCTGTCTCTGTCTCTCGCTCTCTCTCTCTCTCTCTCTCTCTCTCTCTCTCTACCAGCCAGATCTCTTTGCCGACTCATCCAAAGCATCTAGCAGCGCCAGTACCCCCCCCCCCCCCCCCATTACTCACCCCTACCCCCCCCTAGCCCCTAGCCCATCCGGGCCTTGTGGGCCGCCATCTTCAGGAGTCATGTCGAAGTCTTTGTCCGCACCTTGAGCCCGAGCGGGGTAGTTCGGAGCATATTGAATCCCTAACTATCTTAGAATCAACACCCTACGGGGTTTACATGGCCATACCTTCTGCCCTGGCTTCTGACATAAGATGGGTGTTTCGTTTGTGCATGCTGTCAAGGCTCTGTAGCGCCAGTCGGGCCCACGCTGGACTTCGGCACCCAGTCTCACCAACACCTCCGACACGGGCCGGCCCTGCAGCGGGATGTGTAATGTAGGCATGAAGCTGGTGACACTGTGAGGGGGTGACTCAAGATGACCAAAGCAAGGGTGTGGGCAGCTTGGTAACCTTCAAGGCGACACGCAAAACGTTGAAAAGCTGCAAACAGAAGACGTCGCTCTTTGTGATTCTGAACACCTCTAGAAGGAAAGCGATGAATGCTGTAATCCAGCAGCTTCAAAAGGGCACACATCCGAGAGATGTCAAACGATGAAATGAAACCGATCGGAGCAACCCTCTGAAGCACGTGGTGGCAGAAGTGCAGCTGAGAGTCGGCAGTGACAGTGATGGCCTGGATTGTCTGAGCATCTGGGTCCAAAAGGTCCAAGGCGAGGCCGGCACTTTGCATCGTCTGGGCATCGTCGATGATCGAACCATCGGCGCGAATCAGCTTCTCGATGTCGACTCCCAGCTGGTTCTGCGCCTGAGTCCGGACTTCGTGGACTGTGGTGTGGCTGGCCGCTGGAATGACGGCCGTCCGGCCGCTCAAAAGAGCAACTCGCACCTGGCGACAGATGCCACATTGTTCTGTGGGGCTGGGATGGTGCTGCGCTTGACAGGCTCTAGGACTACAGGGGCAAGCCAAGCGTGCGAAGTGCAGCGAATACTAGAAATATGTCGCAGATGGTGCCGAAAACGAAGCAAGAGCGTCATGGAGCCCTGTGCAACCAAATCAAACCGAATTGACACCCGTGCCCCGTAGTCATGCAAACTGCACCGTTGCAGTTCGAGGCAGCATGTTTGACGGTAGTGGACCTTGCCATTACAATGTCACAATGTGCTTCTGCCACCCGCATCGTTCCCGGCCTGCCCCTCCAGGGGGACAAATGCAGCCGGGTCCTGCGTTGCCGAGCTCAACTCTTGTACAGCAATGGTTCACCCACATGTTGGAGCCTGTTTAGTGGGAAGGTCCTCTGGCCCGGTTTAACGTCAAGCGTCCCAGCTTGAAGAGGTTCTGGGACACTTTTGGGTATTTATTTGAGGGTCCTCTTACACATCCAGGGTTTTTGGACCAGTATCCCGATTTGTTTCAGGAAGTTGTTGTTGTTTTGAGTCTTAATCTCGTCCTGAACCCCTTTCCTAATCCCTTAATCCCTGGAGCCCTTCCGATCCTTTCCTGATTCTTATTTCCTTGCTCGATCACTTTCGTGATCCCTTTGGAATCTTGGAACAAAGGACCTAGACACACTAAAGAGGATGGGGGGCGGGGGGAGGCGGGGGAGCATAGAAAAGAGGGTCTCAGGGATGCTCCCACTTATACTAGCAGTCCTTAATAGGGATTTATTATAAAGAACTGCAATCCCGAATGACGGGGGAACATCCCAACCCATATCCTAGCATCGCTCCACACACACTAAACGTTTCAACCCCGGCTCTGAAGACCCGCTGTCCTGCGACATCTGTGCTCACGAGGCCGACATCTCACTGTGATTGGGCCCTAAACTTGCCCTAAACCCTTTTTTGTTGCATCCGGGCTTGGGGAGTCGGCCCAGAATGGTCAGGAAGTCGTGGTGATTAAGGGCCCTAAACCCTACACCCTTTGAGGGGGGTTTTTTGCCCCGCACACAACGCATAAACGTTGTGGCTTCACGCTGATTCAGGTCTTCAGGTCTGTTGCGTGGTTGTCATTTCTGAGGGTTCATGATGACGTTCGGCATCATGCGCAGACACCTTGCTAGCACCGTAGGTTGCATTGTCTGGAATGCAGCTCCTCTGATACGAACTGCGGGGGCGGCGGAGCTCGAATTCAGACACACAAGGTCACAGGGTGATTAAACCCTCTTTCTCTCTCTCACGTTCTAAACCCTAATCCCCAAACCCTAAACCCTAAAACCTAAACCCTATCCGAAGCCCGAACTTCCCCATGCCCTCAAAAGATGGGCCCTCGCCGGCGGCGTGTGTACTTTGTGACCTTAGGGGGGGGACAAGCAACCACGAAACCACAGAAGCAACGGTAGCAGGCTGCCCCTCGTGTTGTATTGCTACAGGATCTTGCAGCGTGATGTTGAACCCTAAGCCCTAAACCCTAAACCCTAAACCCTCCTTGAGCCCAAAGGGACTGGTCAAGAGTATCGGCTCTTTCTAATTCCACGCTGGTGGGCAGAAGTGGCCCTCGGTCTCTCTGCTGGCCGGCAAAGCATCCAGAATGTTTCTTGCTCAGTCCCCAATGCTCGTCCAAATCCACAGGCTATTTCAAACGTTCCCTTGGAAATTATTCGAGAATAGCGCACGATGGGGATCACCGCAACGTGGGCTGCCGGGTTCTGGATGCTTCGCCCTTATCTGATCCTTGAGCCTGCCAGGGAGGTGAGGTTATAGACTTGCTGAGTCTAGGGTGAAAGGGCGTGATATGCTGTCATAAGGGCGCGGTCGCAGATATATTTCCCCCCTGTCGACGGCTCTACTGGGCACAAACTTAGCGCCAGCAGCGGGGATGCTGTAGGGAACCTTGCTCATGCCCCAACCGGCCCAGAGCCGGAACTGACATCCTTGCCTCAAGGTGACTTCGTGACTATCATGGCTGGAAAGGGCATGCCGTCAAACAGCTCGCTGCAGGAAGACCGTCCAACAAATCTGCTACTTTATCGTTTAGCGTCTCTACTCCTCAGCCAAAAGGGTGGACTTTGTTGGGACTGAACTTCTTTTCCTTCGGTGTATAGTTACCATTATTACTCTTCGTAACACGTGAGTGCAACAGACGTCCGGCAACACTGGCTCTCCAGGCTCTCCACACACCCGTGGTCTTCCTTCAGTAAGCCGAGATTTTTTACACAGAAGCGGCAGCTGCTGAAAGCTGGAGCTGTGCCAAACTCACTGAGCTAAGCTCAGGCGTCCGACTTGTCTGCAGGCTATCGTCACAACTTTGAGATGTGCCCCCTTGAATACTAACGGTCCTTGATAGGGATAAGAATAGGGGGTAGTATAATCCCTCTTAATATGAATTATTAATTAAGGACTGCTAGGATAAGGGGGAACATCCCAAATCACAGCTCGTCAATCACGTTGATGTGCACGCTCTTCACAGACTGAGGCTGGATGTGGCAGCGAACCACCTGCTCTTGGGAGCCCATCCTTGGATGACTTCTGGACCCCTCCTAAAAAGTCTTAACTTTTAGGCTCCTTATTGTAGTTTCTACAAAAAGCCCAAAAGGTTAAAGTCCTAAGTGCCAGCCAGAAGAAAGCCAAGCATCTTTGTCTGAGCACAGTCCTTCCAGCACCGTCAGATAAGGTACTTCAGCCTTACCTAACTGACGCGAAATAGACCCTGACATGCACGTCCTTGCAAGCACCACACAGGCCCAGTCCCAGAGACCTCTTACGTAGGGTGCTTTAAAGTCGGGCAAGTTTTAGAGCTTGAAATGGTTATAACTTCTAAGCTTCTTTGTACTTCTGACCAAGCTTTCAACCCTAAACCGACTTCCAAGAACGTCACTTTCTGCAGGTCCTCCTGGTGGACGGGAACTGGCAGCTGCAACTTCTTGGCGCTGTGGCCTCAGAGGTACCAGGTGCAGCTGATGATCCCTGAAAGCTGAAGGGGTTCAGTGTTTCGGGCTTATGGTCCCTAGCGTGTTTTTTGAAACCTCTGAACCCTGCTCTGAACCCTCAAATCCCTAGCGGTCTCGAAGCCTTCCTCTACCCTGTTGAGCGGCCTTTAGGGATTTGGGGTTTAGGGTTTCAAGTTTAGGGTGTAGGGTTTGGGTCTCCCCGACCCTCGTGCAAACCTCCAACCTTGTGAGGGTTTTCTTGAGCGCCTGCAGGAAAACGCTTCGGAGCCGTAGAGTCCGTAGAGATTGGGCAGAGGTACTTGGAAGTTCATGAGTAACCCAATAAATTAGTCCCTCCTCCTCCTTCCCCGCCCGCAAAGTCGTTTTGCTTTGGTTGTTAGATATACTTGCGTTACAGTTGCAGTGGCTCACAGCAAAAGTTGGGCTACATACAAGTAAAGGTCGTTTTGTTTTGGTTGTTAGACATATTTGCGTTACAGTTGCAGTGGCTCACAGCAAAAGATGGGCTGCATACAAGCACGCGTGAACCTCCGAGTAGAGTTGCTTCAGACGTGTGAGGTGGCTGGGTGGCTGCTGGAACAGCACTGGGGCTTTGGCTGCTGTCCTCCTTGGAGAAGAACTCCACATAGCCGCCTGGGCTGTCCGACTGCTGTAGCTTTTTTCTAAGATCGACATATCTTGGGAGCGGAGAACATGACATGCTCGAGCTGCCTTTGTAAGGGGGGGATTCAAGCGATCTTGCCATGGCGATAGGACTGAAGACGAAGCCAACCTGTAGCCTAAACTGCAAAAGACGCCGGAGTACTAGCAGGCCCTATGCTTTTGCGTTGGGGACTTCGAGTACCCGGTCGAGCCGGGCTTTCTTTTGCCCCAGAAGGGCACACAACAGGCTGCTGTGCTCTTCAAGGCCCACCAGCCGCATGACGTATGACGCCCGGCCACGCGGCCCAACCCTGAACCCTAAACACTTACTCCGGTTAGACCAGAAGCTGCAACTAGGTGGAAAATGCAAAACATCTCCAATGTCCTAGTTCATTCTAGTGGGCCGGGACGATGAAGTAAGGAAGGTAGCTTGCTTACTAGGTCTTAGTAGGGAAGCATGGAATCAAGTGACAGATAGATGCCCTTAAACCCTAAACCCTCAACCCGAAACCGCGGATCAAAGGGGGTTCATCCTGCTTCGGCTCTCAGGGCAGAATCTCCAGCCGAGATTCCCCCGATCTTCCCAAGCTCCACCCCCTGGGGGCTGACCTGTGGCTTAGGGTGGCAGCGGAGCGAGAAGTCGGAGGCATGGTTGGTGATTTTCATTTTTTTTTTTTGGGGGGGGGGGGGGGGGGGTTGACTGGACGGCTCTTCAAGGGCTACTTGGAAGGTTATGACTTTGAGATGCGTCCGTTTGAGTAACTGGAACTGATCATGATGTCCCAGAAGTAGTTCAGGGGAACGTTAAGATTTCCAGGGTTCGAGTTCGGCTAAAGTGTGGGGGTTTGGGGTGTCGACTCTCGCGCTCGCACACGGCGGGCAAGGCTTCGGAGGTGTTCTGCCGGGCGAGCCCTTGATTTGTTTGGGTGCATACGGGCCCCTGTGGCGGTTGAAGGGTGGTAATTGGGGGAAGGAGGCCAAGGCACCTGCGGGGTTCAGAAAGACACAAGATGTTAAATTTAAACTCTAAACTCCAAACCCTAAACCCCAACCCAAAAAAGACAAAATGCTGCACTGAGGGGGGGGGGGGCCTTCGGATTGAGAGGAGGTCAGAACGACCCCTTCCCCCCTGGGCCCTTTTACCCTAAACCCTGAACCCCTAAGCCCCGAGTTCCCGAAGCCCCGAATGCTTAAAGCGATGTCGCTCAGAAGCGGGGCCTGCCAGGGTCGACGGAGGAGCCATTTTTGAACATGGGTTGTTTAAGCTTCTTTTTTTGCCGCATGCCAAGCAGCCTCAAGCCCGCGGGGTTTAGGGTTTAGGGTTTAAGCCCCTTGTCCTTTAGGGAGGGACATGGGTGTAGGGTTTCGGGTTTAGGGTTGAACCGAGGCACGATGTCCAGGTACTCGCTCCGGGACATGTCTGCGGATGCCAGGCGCCAGAAGGGCTTCGCGGCTTTGGGCTGCACGACGACCTGAGATGGAGCAAAAGGTCTTTGGGAGGGATTGCTTTGTTCTTTTTTGCTTATTATCATTTCGTTTTATTTTTTTTCGGGGGGGGAGTTATTTTTTTTTGAGCCTTAAGCTAAAACTCCAAACTTCGGGGCGGTAAGGTCTTTCTTTGGGCCATCCACCGTGAAGAAGGGCTTTGAACCAGGGCAAAGCCCAACAAATGGCTTCCCCACGCCCGGGCTTGACCTTACTGAGCCCGACCTAACACCAACTGGGGGCAAAATTAACCATCCAGAGCCACCTCCACTTCTGCATGATGCAGCCGTATTCCCTAGTACTGGCAGCAGATACGCCCTGCCAGAGACGGACCCCTAAACTAAACTCTTGGATCCTCGAAGCTGTGCGCCCAGGCACCGGCGTCGCACCAGCAGGCGCCTGCTCCGCAGCACGCGCCACGGGAAGCGCGCGGGTGGTGCTGGGCGCGGCGCCTTCCATGCCTGCTTTGCGGCTTAAGTTCATGGATGACCCCGACCCTATTTGGAGGTTCATGGGCGATCAACCTAACCATGGGCCCCTCGAGATGGAAAACGTTTGGGTGGCAGGTGCCGTGTGCAGGGGTTTCATACGCACCCAGAACCTTCAAGTGTTCAAGCCAGAAGCTGCTCATGGAGCTCTGTTCTTGCAAATTGCATGGGGTAATTATGGCCTCGTCACCTTAGAGTGCAATAATGCCATACGCATAATATGCTGCTCTTCTTGTTGACCACTTCAAACCCCCCCCCCCCCCCACTTCCCCCACTCCCCCCCTCTCTCCTCCCTCTCTCCTCCTCCCTCTCTCCTCCTCCCTCTCTCCTCCTCCCTCTCTCCTCCCTCTCTCCCTCCCTCCCTCCCCACCCACAAACGGAAAAAGCGAACTTGCAAGCCGCCCATGACTCCCAACGATCCGAGAACTGTCAACTTGGGCGGCGAGATATTCTCATTACATTATTATGATACTAGTACATATTGTTTACTACAAAATTTTGATATATGATATGATTTGATTATTGGGGTTTACGGTTTACGGTGTGGGGGCTGCCTTCCGCTTCCTGTTCCTCTTCTTGCCACACGGGCTCCGGCATGTCGGAGAGCTCCTGTCGCAAGACTCTTTCTGAGAAGGTCGGCGCTACAGCCGCTACAGGCTGGCTTCTTGCTACGGACCCAAAAGTGACTTTTGCTAGCAAGGATACGATGCTTATTGCAATCAGCGGTATGGCAGCTGTATGGTAGCATGTCCCAGGCTTCCCACATTCCCTCCCACTCAACCCGAGAACTGTATAGATTCTGTAGCGTTTCCACTCTCGCACTCGCACAAGGCCGGCAAGGCTTCGGTTGGTTCTTGGTCTGAAGTGGTACTGCGTCATCGATGTCAATGGCGCATGTTGCATGTGTTGACTTGGCTGCTTCAATGGTCTCACGACATAGAGTCTAGGGTTTAGGGTGTCCTGAAGGTCGATCTTCATTTTCTTTTCTTTTTCTTGGGGCGCGGGGTGTGGGGGCTGGAGGTTTCGTGTTTCGTATTCGGTGGGAGGGGGGTTTGAAAGAAACCCTCTCAACAGACACTGCACCAACAGCTGGCCTTCCAAAATTTCAGGGCCTTTCTGTGGAGCCTGAACCCGAAACCCTTTCTTCTTGAACCTGGGCTCTGAAGCACTGCCAGAACCCTAAACCCTAAACCCTAAACGCCCTACTCGGATGGCCCCTTCCTGCCAGAGGCCCCCAAACGGGTCCATGGACATGGGCCGATTCGGAAAGTTTCCTCGGATTGCGCTTTTTAGGGTTTAGGGTTTAGCGTTTAATCAAAAAGCTTCTTGCTTCTGGGGGCTTGCAAGCAAGCCTGCAAGTGGGGGAGCCTTGGGTGGGAGATTTCGAGCCCCCGAAGCCCTCAACTTGAAACGCCAGAAGCGCTAAACCCGATGAAGTCTCTTTGAAGCTACGGAGGTTTAAGAAAACTCGTAGGGCTGGTTGAGGCCAGTGTTGGCCCAAAGGCGCCAACGCGCCCGCAACTCGCAACCACACAAATACGAAGCCAGAAGAGGGTTTTAGGGTTTAGAGTGTAGGACCGTCCGCCAAGAAGAATGATCCACTGCACGATATCATCAGGGCTCTTAAACACCTTCCCCCCCTCCCCCCCCGCAAAAAAAAAAAGAAAAGCGGCGGAAGCCTCCCATGAGGATCGGAAGGCCTGCCGCGCATCCGCAGGTCTCTCACTTTCCGACGTTGGTTTTGGATTCGGCGCAGCTGCTACACCTCAGTTCCTCTGGCTTGGGATCCAGAAACCCTAAACCCTAAACCAGGTTTAGGTCTAGCAGACAAAATTTACGAGTACATGAATATCCTACTTACTCAAATTGTGGGTTTACTGGGGCTTACGTTTGCTCTACACCTGCAGTTGTAGAGCACAAAGCGAAGTGTCTCCTCTACCCCCCCCTACCCTCACGCACCTCCCACACAAAAAAATCCTTTGAGCCCCGCGGCCCTAAAACCCGAACAAGAAACTCAATAAACTACTATTTGCTCAAGAACCCCAGGAAAAAACACACACACACAATATTCCGATAGAATTCTTCCTTAGAAGGGTAACATAGGGATTACTATATCTTTACATTTTTCCGGATGGGGTCTGAAGCAAATTAGGAGTAAACCCTAACATCGGAGACGCCTCTCCCCACACCATATCAGATCCTTAAACCCCTTTAGGCGAACCTCGGAGCCGCGGGCGGCTGCGGAGTTCCTGGCCGCGCTGCCGAGCTTCTTTTTCACTTTTTTTTACTTTGCGGGGGGGAGGGCTGTGAGGGTGGGGGTGGTGGGTTCAAGCTCTGTTTTTGTTTGTTTTGTGTGTGTGTGTGTATCATATTTCTTCTTTGGAGGGGATCAAGATTTTTTTGCTGTGCGCGCGGGTCTCTGCTCTGTGTACAAATGGGGACCCACCATGGTGGAATCCCCCAAAGGTGTCTCGTGCGACGCGTCCGTTCCCTCGGAGTCTCAGACTCGGGGTTTGATTCCTGCCTTTTTACTCCCTCTGCGAAGACTTCCCTTAAGGAATATCACATTCGTAATACTTTGGTATTTCTATGTATTACTGCATTAGTATCTTGTTAAACTGGTACATTATTCACAACCTTAAACAATGATGCTAAGATGGTTTAAAGTATAATATTCCTCAAGGAGTGCTGCTCTCGGGGTTACGGGCCTAGAAGTATGGGCTATCTAGGGAACACGAGCCCAGTAGAAAATTTTAAAAGCTGCTTCCGAAATCAACCTCACAGACCCCAAATAAACCCTAAACCCCAAAACAACCCTGCACCTTAAACATCCAAAAATCTCAGGGGTGCCCTTTTTTGGCTGGTTGCTTTATAAGGGAACCTTGAACCATAAAAAGGGAAACGGGTAGCACTGGGCTACCAAGAAACCCTGAACCCTTTCCCCTCAGCCGCCCTAAACCCACCCGCCACCCGACTTTGTTGTCTTTTGGGATACTGACTGTTTGGTCCTGCATTAGAGGCTCCTGAGAGGCCCCCTGGAGACCCTGAGTCCCGGGCCCCGTTCGCTGTTTTCTGGGGAGCAGGGGTTGGTGCAGGCAGGCCCAAAAAATGGTTTCCTGGTGGCCCTCACCTGATGGTTCTGGTTTGGTTTGGTGGCCCTGGCCCTGGTGGCCCCCGACCCTGACCCACCCTGGCCCTGGTTCTGGCTTGGCCGCCCTGGCCTCCTCCCTCTTTCTTTGTGGGGTTGGGTCCTGAGAGGCTTGTGCCTGCCTGGTGCCTGGCCGTGGCTTCCGTCAGTTTCTGCTGTGTTCCCTGGATCTGGCTTCTGGCCTTGCCCCTTTGCGCCACTCCAAGCTGTCTGCGCACCAAAAACCGCCTCTGCTGCTACCTGTCCTGGCCCTGTTGTCTTCCTGCCTCAATGCTGCACCAATCCAAGCTGCTGCACAGCTTTGTGCCTGGTGCACGCACCTGGCCAGCGTGGCCTGCCCTGTTTCCGTGGCCCTGGCCAACCAAGACTTGTTCGGTTTTTGTACTGGAGGTCCCCAAAAGGGCGTGAGTGCTGACCCATGTGATGCATTGTAAAAAATAAAAGAAGGTCTTAACTCCTTGAGATTTGTAAGTGGGCAGTCTTGGGGTGGGTAGGTCTCCAGACTACTCCCGTTGGGCACGCCCTAAACCCTTTATAACCCCTAAGCCCTAAGCCCAACAATTTCAGGTACCATTCATTCTCGGGCGTCCTTGGCTCCGCGGCGGTCCGCGTCCGCGAAGGCCACCGTCATCCTCAGGGGAGGGTTTAGGGTTGAGGGTTTCGGATTTAGGGTGTAGGGTTTAGGTGGCTTTTTTTGGGCTTTAGGGTGTTTACGTCTAAGGGCCTACAAGGTGGTTCAAGGGTTTCAAGGGTTTCAAGGTCTATATCGGGGCTAGGGCGGATTTTGAGTTTAAGGCTTATGGACCTAGAGACTCCCATGCTCGCGCGTGGCAAGGCTTCGGCCCGTTTCCACTTTACAACAAGCTCTTTTGCACCTTCAAGAAATGGCGCAATGTTGCACGAGCAATACTCCCTAAGCCCCAAACCAAAACCCTAATTTTTAGGATTTCGGGTATTTGGGTCCAGCGTGTTTGTTCCAGTGATCTTTGGCTCCCCTACATGTTGCCTACGAGAGCTTGGGGGCTCTCGGGTGTTTCAATTCCTAGCCTTGAGTCTGAAGGGGTTTGGGAGCCTAATCCCCGAACCCTAAAAACCCCTACAACTCGAAACCCGTTTTGCTTTCAGGCAAAGCTCGACACCCTCAAACCCTGAAACCCTAAGCCCTTCAAGTTAAAGGCTTGCTACTGCCGAAGTACTCCTTCAAATATCCCTGCATCACTATACCCCACCAACTCCCAAAACAGGACGATATGAGTAAAATATCACCAAGAACCCCTCCGTTCACGCCAAAGCTGATGTTTTCAGGATAGCCCCTGGCTTGTGTGCATCCCGGCAATCCCGCACAAACTTCCAAGCGACTGTGGTCCGCCGAGGATATCAAAGAGGTCCTTCACCTGAAGTGTTGGAGTGTCGAGGGTTGGAGGGGGTTGAGGCTTCCCCGCCGCCCATTCACAGCCTGCAGCCTGAAGCATAGGTCTAAACTCAGCCGAGCTGAGTCTGTGAGTGCTAATCTGCAGAATCAGTTGAGTCTGATTTTGCAACTTTCGGCCGGTGGCAAACTGAATTGGGATGAGTCTTTCTCATGATGTTTCCAAAGCAAGTACCGGTGACTGATCAGGTTCACCTGTCCACCAGACTGTCTACCTACGTTGCAGCGGTGACATGTGCAGCACGTCTCACTCTTACAGCTGCAAATGGTTAAGAACTCTCGGCGACCGATTGCCACACGCATGCACACACACACACACACCAAAAAAACAAAAAAGAGAGCAGGTAAACCCGAACACCCTACACCCCTCCCTAAGCCCACCCCTCACCCCTCACCCTAAACCCCATAAACCCCTAAACCCTGAACCCTAAACCCCATAAACCCCTAAACCCTGAACCCTGAACCCTAAACCCTAAACTCCCTAAACCCTAAACCCTAAACCCTGAACCCGAAACAAGCAAGAAGGAGGAGCCCTGCCTCGCTGGGCGGCTCCATCCTTTATCGGGGGTTTCGAGACTGGTTGCTGCCAGGTGGTGGGTAGGGTTTAGGGTTTAGGGTTTAGGGTTTAGGGTTTAGGGTTTAGGGTTTAGGGTTTAGTGTTTAGGGTTTAGGGTTTAGGGTTTAGGGTTTAGGGTTTAGGGTTTAGGGTTTAGGGTTTAGGGTCTAGGCTCTAGGCTCTAGGTTTAGGGTTTAGGGTTTAGGCTTTAGGGTTTAGGGTTTCGGGTGTAAGGGGTGGGCATTAAGGGACGAAAGGTGGGACCCTTTTCCAGCTTTGGGGGTTTAAGGTTTCAGGTTTGGGGCTTAGGTTTGGAGTGCAGGTTTCAGGCAAACTGGTCATTTCGGACAGGCTTGTTACTCTTCAGGTTAGGGTTTAGGGCTTAAGGTGGGTTCAGGGTACTCTCATGTAGGAACTAGATAAGGGACAATCCTGGCAGGCACTTAACTTTCAGCTTCCACCCATCTCACCCTCAGACCCGACCTGTTCCTAGGTTTAGGGTTTAGCATCCCCCCCCCCCCCCCTCCCCCCACAACCTGTCGGTGGTTGCAATAAGATTCCGTAACGAAGGGGCCATAAGAGCCCTCTATTTCGAACAGCCAACCTCTGAAGTCTGCCGTAAGCCCAAAGCCCCTAAACCTCTAAGCCCCTAAGCCCCTAAACCCCCTAAAACCCCCTAAAACCCCCTAAAACCCCTAAAACCCCCTAAAACCCCCTAAAACCCCTAAACCGCCCCCTGAGGGCCAAGTGGCGGATCTTCGGAGCTCTCCGAGATCGCCGGGTCGGCCGAAGCCTTCGCCCTCTGCCCCGGCTTTGGGGGCACGTCCACCTCTGGGGGGGTTAGGGGGCTGGGGTTTAGGGGGTTTAGGGGGTTTAGGGGTTTCGACTCTCACGCTGGCGAAATGCGGGCGAGGACTCTGGTTCGAGCGTCAAGACGTGAAACACACTTGCTTGCTTGCAGCTCAGATCAACCCATCCCAGCGCAAATTCCTACAATACAAATCACCTCGTATCCCCGAACCATGCTGAACTCCAGAAGCGCAGCATTCAAGGAGCAGCACCGTACTCTGAGTCTAGGGCGCCCAAGGCATGTTTAGGGGTTTAGGGGTTTAAGGGCTCAGGGTCCAATATGGTCCAAGATATAAGGTTCAGGGTTTAGGGTGACTTCAAAAAACAAAATTGGACTCTGCAAGGCTCACAAACTCTTTTCAGGGTCGCTTTTGAGGGCACCGGAGACCCTTCCCCCGCCAGGAGCGAGCCGTCTTGGGCGCTGTAGTTCACCTGAGCTTGAGGCTTGGAGCTATCTCAGGTGGTGCGGAAGACTTTGCTTGCGTTACAGTTGGTGGTGCGGTTCTTGCCCACACAGGTGCTACAATACACAAAACTATACTCCCCTTAGAACCTTAATGAACGTATTACTTTTAATATCCTTTTGGGTTTTATATGAACAAACATATAAAATAAATCCCAAGGGGGATACAGAAAAAAAGGGGTTTCTGAGGAGCACCCCGGTGGCAGAGACCTTGCTCGCGTCCGGCATGAAGGGAAGCGGAAAGCTGCGCTGGAAGCTCGTCACCATCTGGCCAGGGGTGTCACAACGGGTGTCTGTGTGTGTGTCACATTCAAACATGATGAGGGTCATGAAGCATTCGTGTTTCAGGTTCAGTTGCTGTTTTACGTTGACTTTCAAAACCCTTCCCACTGCCCAGTGGGGCTAGTTTGGAAAGTCCTAAGTTTAAGCAAATCAACTTCGAGGGTGCCAGGGTAAGAGTTGGACCACTTGCTGGTAGGGTTTAGGTTTTGTTTTTTTGGGGTTTAGGGTGGAGACTGACTGCCCCTAGTTGCCCCGGCCTGACCCGTGGTCTTCTGGCCTTGCACCAGCAATGTCTGGCCGATGACCTTGTTGCGCCCATGCCCTCATGGGCTTGTTAGCCCTAGCCCTTTTGCACCAAACCCTAAACCCTAAACCCTAAACCCTAAACCCTAAACCCTAAACCCTAGACCCTAGACCCTAGACCCTAAACCAGATGTTCCATGGAATGTCACGTCCGGACGCTTAGATGCCGAAGGACCCGAACTTCGTTTAGAGTCGCATCGTGTAGCTTCCAAGCAGCTTTCACGTTCAATGGCTCGTCACCGTCCCCGCTCCGGTGCATGCTGTATCCTGAGGCTGTAACAATAACAAGAATGCTGATCATGACAAAATGAAAACAACCAATGGTGGAAACAATAGTATAGTAGGAAAAAGTCTCGTCAAATCATACTAGTCTACGCTAGTCAGCATCTCACCACACATCCGCAAGGAAGAGTTTCTTCCACGCCCAAAAAGGCTCCGCTGGCAAAACTCTATGCTTCCCATCGGCACGCGCATTCCTTGGGGGTGAGTGGGTGGTCTCCGAACCCCAGAAAGAAGATTCGAAGGCACTGCCCAGGCACCCCCTTTCAGACACAATGCAGGCACCAAGGCACCTTGCACCCCTTCCTCCACCCCCCGGAATCCCTTTTGCAACCCTCAAGAAACCCTAAACCCTAAACCCTAAACCCCAAACCCCAAACCCTAAACCCACAAAAATGTTCGAGGGCATCCGAAAGTTGATTGTTGGCTTTTGTTGTAGGGGCCACACGACATTCAACATTGAAAGCTGCCACGAAGCAGTCGTGTCTTTTTGGGGTTTAGGCCTCTTCATGAGCACGAGCCCAAAGCGCCAAGCCACCCCCTTGGTTCATTCATATTGGTTGTTTTTGTTTTGCCACCAAGCAGACCTGCCAAACCGGGTTTAGGGTTTGGGGTCTAGGGTTCTAAGGTTTAGGGTAATACATCCGTACACAGATCCACAAGCACTTCGGGTCTCGCAACACCTGAGTGGCCCAAGCGCCTGAATCCCCGAAGCTAAAGCCAGAAGAGGCGTTTTAATGATCTTAACCAGTACTGTTACCAATATTTCAAGATGATCTGGTTCTTCAAGCTGCTCGATATGAATAGTAGCGACATAATTTAACAGCCTGAACACTACCAACTATACTAGTGTCCTATCTATCCAGTCATTTCCGCGACAGGGGAGGGGCTCCTCTCAGCACTCCCTGCAGTCGAGGAGCCGGGTAGAGACGCCCGAAGCCGAAAGTGTCCGTTGTCCACACCTTCGTCCAAACTCCGTGGAGGCTTCTACATGGGTTCTACGCGCTTTTGTAGTTGGGGAAAGAATGGAAATCCAGAAGCCCTAAGCCCCCAAACTTCCTTAAGCCCCCTAAACCCTAAACCCTAAACCCTAAACCCTAAACCCTAAACCCTAAACCCTAAACCCTAAACCCTAAACCCTAAACCCTAAACCCTAAACCAACATCAGGTTCGGGGTTGCTGGCCTCAGGTTTTGGGGCCCGTCTCTGGGGGTTGCTGTCTAGCCTCGACTGGCTGCTAGATTGGTATAAGGATGGTCGGGGTCCACGTGCATAGACACACACATATACATATGTATATATATATATATATATGTAATATATATATATATATATATATATATATATTATATTGTATTTTTATTTTCTTACATTATATTATATTATATTATATTATATTATATTATATTATATTATATTATATTATATTATATTATATTATATTATATTATATTATATTATATATGTAAACATTCATAAAGGCAATTATGTAGGTGTGTAGATGTGAAAAAGGACAGGAGCAGTTGCAAAAGATGGTCGGATCAGAAAGTCGGTCACAAAACTCGTGGCAGTTGTAGAACTTGTGCTCCATGCCGTTTCGCCGCATGCTTCATGTTGGGGACGTTCAAAGGGTTTAGGGTTTAGGGTTTAGGGTTCCCGGTAGCAACCCCCACACTCAGAAGTGAAACGCAAAAACCGAAGCCTGCGAAGCACCTGAGCTCCCTCTTGCCACTCCCCTTCCCCCTCCAATGGTTCTCCCTGTTGTGGTCGATGAAACACACAAACTTGCAGGGATAAATTTCTCATAATACCAGTGTCAGGAGGTTAAGCAGGCTTTGAAGCCACTTGGGGTAGTTGCATGGTCCCTCAATATGGGCCCCTAAAAGGGGACCCCTTAGAAACCCCTCCTATACCCAAACCACCCTCAAAAAGCTCTAAGTTGCACGGCCCGCTATCCCTAAACTCTAAACCCTAAACCTGAACCCTGAACCCTAAACCCTAAACCCCAAACCCTACACCCTGTGCGCGGCTGCGAGGCTGGTCTGGAAGCCTCCGCTGCCCGACTGCATTGCGGGCACCAGGTGCTTTCCAAAGTCTTTCCTCGGAAGTCTGGGTTCGGGGTTTAAGGCTGTATAGGGAGTCTACTGCTGTTTGCGCAAAAGAAGCCCACAAGCATTTTTGAAAAAAAAAACAGATTGTCCGTGTAAGCGTAATCTAGGGATTACTTTTGGGGGTTCTTAAGCACATCGCAGTTTTAGAATAACCTGTGCGAAGATGGTAGGAATGATGGAAGCATAACAAGCGAGGAAGGAATTCTAGAAGGCTGCTGAAGACTTCTTGACTGACATTTCAGACCATGGTACCCTCAGGCCCCACCCCCACCCTAAACCCTTTTGAGCAACGGACTTGGAGGCTGCCGGGAAACATGCAACTTCTCAGAAGTTGCATCACGCAATCTGACACAAGCTGTGCTACATGGCTCGTGCATCACAAGGCATGAACTAAAGCTGACATGACCTAAAGGTAAAAACACAAGTCACACACTCACTCATCCATCTTTACATTCCTGTAGGCACTGCAATCGTTCTGCTCTCCTTCTTTGCTTCATTTCCATTTGATGTTTCCTATGCTGGTCAAGCAGGAACTCATGATTTCCTTCCTGTAGGTCCTGCGGGCTCTCATGAAGATGTTGCGATGTTGCGACGTTGCTTGCCCGAGCAGTAGTCCCAACTTCTGGCAGACATACATCCGTGGAGACTTTCATACCATGCACCAGCGCCCGAGTCTGAGCAGTCTTCAACACTCGTTCAGCAACAGCCTTGCACTCCATCTCAGTGCAAATGTTTGCTTCGGTTTGCATGGACACGTCGGCAAAATGCTGCGTCTTGCGATCTTGCAGAGCATCATACAGCCTGATGACCTGGCTTTGGGCAACAGCTTCATCCGGATGGACATGTTTACAAAATCCTGTCCGAACGCAGTGTAACGTGGACTTCAGGTGCTCTGTCACACTTGGCACCTCCATCTTGGAGGATCCAAGGCGTAGGCAACACAGGACATCAACCGTCGCTCCATTGCGGCTCACTGGGGGAATGCATGAATTGAGATTTTGCCAGATTATCGTAGCAGAAATCCTTGAGCTAAACCCTAAACCCTAAACCCTGAACCCTAGACCCTAAACCCTAAACCCTTAACCCTAGAGGTATGTCGGAGGCGGGCGGGTTCCATGAGCCGAGCCGCAGCAGCCCGCGGAAGAGGTCCGGCTGCTCAAATTCCAGGGGCTCCTCTATCATCTGGGGCCCCTCCGACATCCTGGCAGATGAGAGAGGGTTTAGGGTTTAGGGTTTAGGGTTTAGGGTTTAGGGTTTGATCAGAGAGGTCCTCAGCCCTTCTGAGGGGCTGAGTTCCCTAGCCAAAAAAAAAGGTTAACTTTGCTTTTATAGTAGGAATTGTATATAACCAAAAAGGTCAAAGGTTAACTACCTAGCCCCTATAAGCTGTTAAGCCCTCTTGAGCAGCGGACTTTGAGGCTGCCGGCACGCATGCTTCATCACACAGTCTCACACACAAAGCACCTAGTCACCCAAGTCTCCATCCTAAACCCTGAACCTTAGGTCTTCTTCTCCACGCAGGAGCAGAGGTCTTTAGGCTTTTGGGTATGTGCTGTGCCATCGGTCCCGATGTCCTAGGGGGCGACCCTTTGAAACCTGTAATCCTACCATGCGTGCTGTAGGATGCAGCAACACCGTTCCACACAGTTCCCTGAAAAGTCTCATACCATCTTGGAAAACCATCTTTCGCCTTCCTCCCCTTTCCCCAAGGCTGTGCTGGGAAAACTTGTAAAGCTTATAAAGAGCTTCTGCAAAGATCCCAACCCTGAACCCGAAACCCTAAACCCTGCATGGGGTGGGGGTGGGGGGGGGGTGGGGGGGGTGGGGGGGGGGTGGGGGGGGGGTGGGTGGGGGGGGGGGGGGGGTGTGGGGGGGGGGGGGGTGGGGGGGGGTGGGGGGGGGGGGTGGGGGGGGGGGGGGTGGGGGGGGGGGGTGGGGGGTGGGGGGGGTGTGGGGGGGGGGGGGGGGGGGGGGGGGGGGTGGGGGGGTGGGGGGGGGGGGGGGGGTGTGGGGGGGGGGCTGGGGGGTGGGGGAAGGGTCCTCGGCTCAGGGCCACGGAGCATGTCTCGCAGCGCAAGGCCCAGATCCGAGTCCATCAGCGGGCCCAAGTTAATCACCACCGGCTTGCCTGTACTTACTTGAATTGGGGTTCAGGGGTATTTGGGGCTACTCAACTATAGGGTTTAGGGTTTAGGGCTTCCAGAATACCATGGGAAGCAAGGGCGTATGGTGTGTGAAAACCAAAAAACACCGCTCATCAACACTCTAAATCCTAAACCCCAAACCCTAAACCCCTAAAACCCTAAGACCCTTTAAGGGGTTCTGACGTTGAGGGTAAGAGAGGGGCCAGGTCGATGGCACTGCGCGGCACCCGCAGCCCGGACCATGCCTTTTTCCCACTTGAAGGTTCATGGGTAGCTGTAAAGAAGGGTTTTCAGTACCATCCTCGAGGTTATCATATAGGCTGCCTTACTTAGAGCCCTACTCTTCTCTAGCCATGAACCTTCAAGAAGGGCACGCCGTCCTCGAAGCTGTCGTCGCTTCGTGGCTTCGGGTTTCGCACACTGCGAAACCGTCATTGCTGTTGGACGTCTGGGCTAACATGGTCTCTCACTGCTCGGGGTCTACGGGCATAGTTGGGTTTCTCTTTGTTTGGGGCTGTAGGCGCTAGCCCCTCCGATCATGGATTTGCTTTGTGTTGCGGCCAGCTCTTGGGGATTCCCAATTCCGAGGTTTCGCCAAAAGGGGCCTTCTAAGGCTTCAATGGCGAGGAGGTCGACTGTGCATGCCCTTGGGGTGGTGTGGGAGTTCTCCTGGGGATGTGTCTTGGAGTGGCTATACTCCCCTTAGAACCTTAACAAAAAATACTAGTTTAGTATCCTCTTGGGTCTTATAAAAACAAAAATCATTCCCAAGGGGGGATACAGGTGGTTTACTGAGATTTTACAGTGTGCTTGGCATGGACTCAGAAGGCCAGGCATTCACAGGGGGGCAGGACCTGGCCGAAGGTTCTGGCAACCTTACCACCTCATCCAAACACTAAACCCTAAACCCTAAACCCTAAACTCCCCGGACCACCTCATCCTCAAGCTGAAAGCCTAAGATGAAACCCCAAGCTGCTGCTGAGATGGCCAGCAGCCATATGCGGGGGTTTATGATCATCAGGGACCCCGAATAGAGACTCCCCCGAATGGTAGGATCCATTTGTAATCATGACCCCAAAAAGGTACCCCTGTTGCATCCAGGCCTCTTCCACTAAGGTACCCCTAAATATCGTAACGCCCCCCCCATATGTTGCAAGCCGCAATGCCATAACCAAACCCTCACGCTCTGTGACGCGGCGTGGTGGCAGCTCGCCTGGGCGGAAGGGCAGCTCATCCACATCAGTCTGCGACCAAGCCGAAGGCAGAAGCAGCGGAAGCAGTAGACGCTTCCAGTTGAGTCGCTGCATGGGAGCTGCTCCCATTGCGAGGACAATCCTAAAGTCTTAAAGTCGTTAGAGCGAGCCCTAAAACCAGCATGAGATCCTCTTCTTGAGCTCCGGACAGGCTCCTGACGTGCTGCCATATACCCTGTGGCACCTGAACGCCGAACCATAAACTTCGTAAGCCCAGACCACCAAAACCCTAAACCCTAAACCCTAAACCCCGTGCACCGGTAAGCCCGAAAACCCCCAGATAAACTGACAACCTGAACAGGTCCGCCGCAGCTGGAGAGCAGAATGCAGCAAAGTGCGGGAAGGTTTTTGTTTCTGCATCCTCGGACATGACATGAAGAGAGGTTCAGGGTCTAAAGGGGAGCCTCCTCCACCTCCTCAGTGCCTGACCAGGAGGTGGAGAGTTGAGATCAACATCAGGCGACTACCGAAGTCCTTGTCTGGAGTCTCGCCCAGGGCCTACGCGCGTTTTAGAGGGGGTTTCTGGCTTCGGGGATGTTGAGGGACTCTCGGGCCGAAAAGCATTTTTCATGCAAGTGTCGAGAGTCAATGTGCGGGTGAAACGTTCAAGCCAGCAATGTTAGCGTACCGCATACCTTCATGCGCGCGGCTGTCTTTGGAAGCCGCCGCCTTTTGCATTAGCCTGAGGGGACTGCAAGAGAAGCAGCCTTGCAGGACGGATGCGCCGAGTGCCTCGGGTTGCGCCTCTCTGGCCCTTTACGCGGGCCCCACCACCCTGAACCCTAAAAAGCCCAAAAGACATATACCGTATACCCTAAAACGATAAACCTTAAAAGCAAACCCTAAAACCCTGAACCTTTTTCAACCTAAGGAGCACCGGTGCAGCTTGGCATGCCAGTCGGCGCCGGGGGCAACAATCGCGCCCGAGGCCAACACGGCTACCCAGACGAATCCCCAAGCATTGGGGGTGGCAGGTGTTTCGGGCTTAGGGGGTTTATTTGACCCTAAACCCTAAACCCTAAACCCTAAACCCTAAACCCTAAACCCTAAACCCTAAACCCTAAACCCTAAACCCTAAACCCCTAAACCCTAAACCCTAGATAGGGTTTAGGGTTTAGGGTTGGTTGTGGGTGCTTCTATCGAGTCCGTGGTCCATTGGTGCTCAGTATGGCTAGCAGGGAGCTGAGGCCCGCTTTACTTCACCAAAGCCCCTTAGAATGGCACCGGGGGGGACGAAGATCTCTGATGGAGCAGTCGAGTCTACTACTAGCTGCTTAAGAACCCACAAAAAACACAAGATAACAACCCCCATCTTGCCCTCATAAGGAAGCTTGCTATTTTTTCTTGCGGGGGTTCTTAAGCAAACCGTAGCATAGCTTAAGGTTTAAGTAGGGTTCGGGCATACATGTGTTGATCTAGGGACTGCAGGAGGACAATGTCGGCAAATTCCCCACACATGGACCCCGAACTGCCAAACATCCTTATTGCAGGAAGTCTCGGGCCCCCCCCGCACATTTTTTTGGAAACCCGGCTTAGGGTTTAGGGTTTAGGGGGGCGAAATAGGTCCCTGTTGCCAGACTTTGGGGGCATCTTCATGGGGAGGGGGATCCGTCCTTCGGCGATTACCGGGCACTTGAAATTTTTGGGACAAAGCTTGCCCGTAGAAAGGGTCCTAAACCTCAGAGGAGCCACGCACGCCAAAAGTGCCCAAAAGGTTTCGTGAGCTTGGGGTGCGAAACCCCTACACCTCTTGGTTGCATCAGGCCTGTGAGCAAACAGCAACAAAACCCTAAACAACCCCTAAAACCCCTAAGCCCCTCCCTGAAGGCTTAGGCAAGGAGACATACGGATTAGTCTGTGCCGACTTTGGGCTGAGTTCCGCGAATTCCTGGGCAAAACTCACCGCTGAAGCAGCCTTTCCGAGTGCACTCTCTCATTGACCCCCCCCTTGCTGGGCAAAACGAAGCTGACACATACGACGTGCTTAGGGTTTAGGGTTTAGGGTTTTTTCCTTACACCCCCTCGTCCCCCCCCTCAAAAGCTGCTGCCTCTTGCAGAACGGCCATCCTCTCTTATGAAGACAGAGTCTATAGTGAGCTTGGAACCCCCAGCCAAAAATCCTAATTTCAGCTGTTGCTTAGGAATTCGAACACCCAAAACAATAGCAACTAATCCCAAGTATCCCTAAGCAGAAAGCTGTTGCTTAGGAACTACAGTACCTAGAAGGGTCCGAGGCGCAAGCCGCAGAGGTGCCCTATTGACGCTCCAGCGGTGTAGCTCCCGCCTTCTCATCGGGAGAAAGGCCCAATAGGAGCTGGTGCCAAGTATCATCAGATCTTGAAATCCCTGGTTTCAAGAGACCAGTAGCTATCCCCCTACCCCCCCCCCCCCCCCCCCCCCACCCCTTGAAACCTGGGGTGTGAGGTGTTTTTTTACTGGACTGCATTTTGCCCGCGGCCATTCGAGCCGGGATTCGAAGGTCGGATGATCCAATCAGAAATGTGTCGACCCAGCGGAGACTCAGCGAAGTTGTACCAGAACCGAGGTGATGTCGTCCTCGGCCAGGCTTTAGTAGGCTTTAGACAATGAAGAGCACATGATGACGACCGATGCTCTTAACTTCACTTATTCCTCCATCTGTGTATATATATGTGTGTATGTATAGAGAAAGAATCATGAGGGTATGCAGATGTTTGCTTGCAGAAGACACACCCCACAAGCCCGCTGCTGCTGCTGCTGCTGCTGCTGCTGCTGCTGCTGCTGCTGCTGCTGCTGCTGCTGCTGCTGCTGCTGCTGCTGCTGCTGCTGCTTCTGCAGCAACCCTTTTTGCATCAGGACCTGTGCAATCGCCTGAAACCCTAAGCCTTAAACCTTAACCCTAAACCCTAACCCTAAACCCTAAACCCTAAACCCTACACCCTAAACCCTATCCTACGCAACACGCACACTGAGAAAACAGCCGACCCTCGCGGGCCCGTCTTGAGGCCCCAACGCAGTAGTCGCCTTGGTGGGCTGAGGCTCCTACTTTTTTTGAGGAGGGACTGCAGTATGCTCCTATACACCTCCTATTTCCCCTATATAACCCCCTATATGTACCATATGTTGTTCCTATTACCTAATTACCCCCAAAGAACCCCTAAAGTCCCTTGGGTCCCTCCTTTAGTCCCTTCATCCTACACCTCCTCCTCTTACCATTAGGGTTTCGTGGTTGAGGGTTGGATTGTCAGCCTCCCTAAGTTCTTTTCATGTGGCTATAACCCTAAAAACCCTAAACCCTAAACCCCTTGGGTTACTTTTGGGTATCCATGAAACCCCTTCGGGAAACCTCAGAGAATCAGAACACTCATCTTTGGCACAACCTGACCATAACGACCTGCGCGATGGACACCCCCCCCCCCCCCCCTCCCCTAAAGTCCCTTCTATGGCTACAAAACATTCACCCTGAAACCCTGAAAGCCTTCTGCCCTAAACCTCTCAACTTGAGATGTTCCCCCCTATACTAACAGTCCTCAATAGGGATAATAGGGGGTACTAGAATCCAGATTAAGGACTGTTAGTATAAGGGCGAACATCCCAACCTGAACCCCTCAAGCCTTTCTCCCAAAAAAAGAACCCCTCAGAATCTCCGATTGCCGCCAAGAGACCCTCCTCTGCCTTCCAGCGCTTCTTGGCCTCTCGCTGCAGCTTCTCGAGCGTCTTTGCAGGCCCGTCCTTGCGTTAGGGTGGGTTTAGGCTTTAGGCTTTAGGCTTTAGGCTTTAGGCTTTAGGCTTTAGGCTTTAGGCTTTAGGGTTTAGGGTTTAGGGTTTAGGGTTTAGGGTTTAGGGTTTAGGGTTTAGGGTTTAGGGTTTAGGGTTTAGGGTTTAGGGTTTAGGGTTTAGGGTTTAGGGTTTAGGGTTCCACCTGCCAAGCAGTCCAGCCGCACCACAGGGTAACATTTCGGGACGATGTAGAATTTCAAGATGCTTCAGGTACTACAAGTGATACTTCCCCCCATGGTTTCTTTCCCCCCTAAACCCTAAACCCTAAACCCTAAACCCTAAACCCTAAACCATAAACCCGCCATGGTTTAGGGCTTAGGGTTTCGGGTTCAGGGTTTAGGGTCTCAGAAAGGTATTGGGGTTGTATGGCCTCGGGCCTAAGGTTAAGGGCTTTTCAGGAAATGGACTACTACGAATCGCTTAAGAAACCCCCCCCCCCCCCCCCCCCCCCCCAAAAAAAAAAAAAAAAACATCCTTAACGGTACTCGAGGGCTTGCTTCTTTTTGCTTGGGGGGGGGCTCTTAAGCAAATAGGAGATTATGGTTCGTGCTGGTATGAGAAGGAATGCTGCTGGAGCCTGCGGCGATCGTATGACTCTGATAGGGTGATTAACATACCTCGTTGCTGAGTACCGGGCCAAAAAAGGTTAACCTTTCCATTATGGTAGGACTCTATATACCCCCGTAAGGCTAAAGGTGACCTACTCAGCTATTAAGCATAGGGGCACCAACTCATCCTGATGATTCTTCTGGGCGTCTTCACTCTTCTTGGACCCCTAAACCCTAAACCCTAAACCCTAAACCCTAAACCCTAGACCCTAAACCCTAAACCCTAAACTCTAAACCCCGAAACTCCTCAGCACAGGGACTTGGGGGCTCAGGCCATCCAAGTTAGAGCCCCTCTAAGACCCCTTTTCAAAGCACCACCAGAGCACGGGTTGTGAGGTCATCCCCCCAAATGAAGGAATGCTCCTGAGATTAAGAAGGTGATCGTAATAGAATTCAAGCAAGACTTAGAGTCCTTATAAGTCCTAAACCCTAAATGCTCCTGAGATGAAGAAGGGGATCGTAATAGAATCCAAGCAAGACTTATATAGTCCTTATAAGCCCTAAACCCTAAACCAACCCTGAACCCTGAACCCTAACAGGATCCCTCCCACGCCAGGCGACCGATTGAATCTTCTTGGCCACGGCCTTCACGACAAACTGCGAATCCAAGAACTCCCACACACCTGGGCACCAAGAAGTTACTGTTGGTTAGTAGGGAATAGGGGAATGGGGTACCCTATTTAATCCCCGAAAGGGTATCTTTAGGGGAATACCTGGGCACCAAGAATCCTGAATCTTGAATCCTACTTCCTAAATCTTAAAACTCCTGAATCCTCAATCCAAAAGTTCCTAAATCATAAACCCTAAATCCGCCTAAACCCTGGCTGAATGCTTCAAAGAATAAAGCGTCCTCCTCTTCATGGCATCTCTACTACAACTAAAGTAATTTTGGGCTACTGACGAAATTGAGGGGACTGCTAGATAACACTTGGTCAATCGGTACCCTAGACCCTAAACCCCAAACCCTCTGCGAGCTGACGCAGTAGCGCACCGCAACGGAAGCACCTGCTGACACTGGGGCCGTGACCGTCGCTGGCAATGATGAAGAACGCCTGAAGGGGGAAATCCCCGGGACCCCACACACTCGCTCTCTCTCCTCTTCTTCTTCGTCTTCTTCTTCTGCTGAGATTGATCTCTCGCTCTATCCTTCCCTCCCTCCCTCCATCCCCCTGCTCAAATTCATTCACGGGCAGTCAGTGTGAGTATCCACATTGCCACCATGCATGTGCAGCTTTTGTCTAGCCACTGCCCGGCTTCCGCCCAATCCTGCGTTTCAGGCCTGTATCCAAACGAGCACACTCTAGCCTCATTCGTTTTTTCAAACTTCGCACCGCCAGCGTGCCTCCCCAAATGCCAAGGTGCCTACGTGCCTCCCGCAATTGCAGTTGGTAGCGTTCTCTCTCGGCGTACTCGGATAAGATACGCCACGAGTCACGTTCGCTCAGAAGTTGACACAGAAGAACTCTCATGCGGGTTTAGGGTTTAGGGTTCACTTCCCGTGCCTTCTTCGAGAGATCCACAGTCGTGAGGAGCACCTGTGCGCGGGAAGCGGATGCTCAGAAGCCAGCTCTCAGCTGCTGCTAAGAGCACCCTCTGCACCTCCATGTGGCCTCAAGCCTTCAGAACTTATGTGCTGTGTATGCTATATATAAATATGTATATACATATATATGTATATGTATATATATATATGCCATATATATATATATATATGTATATACATGCTATGTATATCTCGCCCTGCCCTCTTCCGAACTATGAAGGCCCCCCAGCCCCGCGTACGCGCCGTGACTTGACTTTTGAAGAGGCCTCCGGGGTCGCGATGACGCCGTAGTCCTTCACCGACTGGTCTCCGAGCGTGCGTGCCATACACAGTCCCGGATAGTCCTGGGCAGGTCTTTTTTTTTTTTTGCCAGCCACCTCTATACTTCACTTAGAACCTTAATTTAAATATACTTCCCTTAGAACCTTAATTTAAAGATACTTTTAATGTCCTCTTGGGATTTATATAAACAAAATAATTCCCAAGGGGGATATAGGCCTAGCTGACACTGAGGCCACATTGCAGGGACTCGTTCCGGGAATGACCGTCCATTGAAATGAAGAACTGATGCCGTTAAAGGTAACGCAGAAATACGTTTGTCGCATCAGGGCGGGCTCTTCAACCCCGAGTATATTTATCAGGGGACCATAAGGGAAGTACGAATCATAATGAATAATTCCGACCCCTACAGAAAGACCATCATTGTGCGGAACCGCCATACGAGATCCGGAAAGGCTTCGGGACCCGCAATTCCCGACCGTGGGGGCCGCCGCCGGCGCTGCCTAAAGACACAGCCATCACATGAAGTAGGGGATAGGATAAGGGGGACCCTTGGGGATTTAGACCCTCTGAATAAGGTCCCTTGTTAAGAGAGCCAGAGGAGGGTTAAGAAGGGGTTCCCTTTTAAGGGTTCCCCTTATCCCACCTAGGAAGTGGGGTTTTCCCAACAGAACAGCACCCACCAAGATTTTTTTCAGGAACCATGTATACACGCACCAATTCATGGTGACGTAGGTTAGCGATCCTGGATGAAAACTGCCCCAGAGGCCTTAGGCCACAAAGCATGAACTCCTGAGAAGCCCAAGGTTCTTTGCCCTTGATGAAGATGCGGTGGTTGACCCATCCGTCCTCAGCGGCAAGGGAGTTTGCCAAGCCACGTTGGCAAGGGTTTAAGTTGGCGTGGCTGGTGCGTTCTTGGAAGCCTCCCTTAGCCTTAGTCCCCTCTCTTGCGGGGAGGGTGCAGGCCTGGATGCAGACACGAGCAGCTGAGTAGTTGGGGTTTAGTCAGTATTCAAAGATCATGCAGGACGCCATCCCATCACTTTACATACTTGAAGGGTCATGGAAAGCTACAAGCAGGGTTCTACGAGAAGACTTACTATATGCTCTGATACCAAAACATAACTTACTTGGGGGTACTTAGAACTTGGACCCCTCCTTACTACTTACCCTGGCAAAAAAATCACAGTTTTAGCTGTTTCTTGGGAACTCGAACACCGAAATATTTTTCAAAATATTCCCAAAGCATCCCTAAGCTTATAACGAGCCATCAGGCAAGGGGCCGGGTAGGTTTGAGAGCGCACTTCTCCGCCGGACGCTTCAATGCGCGCCTTCTCCTGGGGTTTGGGGTTTAGGATTTGGAGCGCGCTGTTGAGTTTGCAGGCAACCTCCAGAATTTGGCCCCTGGGCTTTTAGGAGCTGAGGCTTCACAGCATCAGAGATCCAAACTGAAGATGCACAGGGCATCTTAGGTTAAGAGGGGTTTGCAGATTGGGGCTTTGTGGCTCGAAGCCCCTCTCCTACTCCCTCTCGCCTTTGCCCATTGGAGGAATCCCAGTGACTCAAGAAACTGAAAGCTAAGATGGTCCCTCTCAGGGCCTCTGAGCCTTCGTGCCTGACCAGCAACCCAGTGGCATGGGGGTGCCACAAACCACAGAAACATGAGGATTCCGGATTCCAGAATCCCGCACCTATACCCCACTAGTAGGATCCTAGTAGTATGATCCTTACGTTTGCGCGGATTTCGAGCCCCGAGTTGAACTAGACCCAAGGGGCAACCCTACAAATTAAAAAAGGGTACCGTAGTAGCCCTAAACCCTAAACCCTAGACCCTAAACCCCCCCAAAAGGGAATGAGGGCCTTACACTGGGGTCCGAAGTGAAGGGCTTGGAGGTGCCGTGGCACCTTCTCGGTCTGCGGCTTGTGATCTTCCGTCTCAAAGACCACCTTCTTGTCCTCATCAGCTTAGGGTTTAGGGTTTAGGGTTTAGGGTTTAGGGTTTAGGGTTTAGGGTTTGGGGTTTAGGGTTTAGGGTTTAGGGTTTAGGGTTTAGGGTTTAGACCACCTTCTTGTCCTCAGGGTTTGGGGTTTACAGGGTTTATAGGGTTTATCGGGTTCATAGGGTTTATAGGGTTTAGGGCTACCAGGACCCATTGATGGGGTTTATAGGGTTTATAGGGCTTGGAGGGTACAGGGTCTTAGCGCTTAGACGTAGGCGTGGGCTTTCGAAACGTCTGGGGTGACTTCATGGCTGCTTGACAGCAAATATGCGCCTTATCCGGCATACTTCATTACATCTACGAGCCCTGGAAATTCCATCGTATGACACCTGCACCTTGGTTCCTGAGCGGTTTCTTCTCAACAGTGTCAGTCTCGCCTTCGACTTCTTCTGCCTCAAGCCGTACGACCCTAAACCCTCAACCTCCAACTATCAACTCTAAACCCCAAACCCTAAACCCTAAAACCCTAAACCCCAAACCCTAAGGTACTGATAAGACCTGCGTGTGGGGTGCGCAGGGCCTCAGATTGACCACACCATGCACCCCTCGGCCCAGGCGCCTAAAGCAGACCTTGAAGCCCCCAACCCTTGGAACCCACTGTTGTATGAAAATGTACTTCCATCTGCTGCATGACCATATTAATACCACAGCATATCTTTAAACCATTATGCTATTTCTTTCTGAAATCCTGTGCCTCTAGCAACCCTAGGGTTTACTACTTGCCAGCCCAGTCGCAGCTTCTGTTCCGATGGCGCAACGCGAGTCCCCGGCATTGGCAGTCCACACTTTGTTGCCCTTGAACAGAGCTGCTACCGCCTGGGGCGCCAGCTTAGGGCTTAAGGTCTAGATTCTGGGGGGTGAATTCGGGAGCCCCATGAACCATAAACTCCAAAACCTCCAGCCGAGCGCCTCCTCTGCGTCACGAAGCAACGCGTGCCCGCTTTTGAAGGGAGCTTCTGCCTAACCCTAAAGCCTGAACTAGGTAGGTTAGGCTGGTTGCGACTCTCGTGTAGAAGCTCCTGGAAACCTAGAGCCCGTAGAATGCAGTAATAGTAATAGCACTATCAATATCAATAGCAATAGCAATAGTAACAGCAATAGCAATAGCAATAGTAATCGTAATAGTAATAGTGATAGTGATAGTAACAGCAACAGTAATACCGTTCAGACTGTTCAGCTGGCGCGCAGTACTTCCACTGGCTTGTACATCCCAGTCCTTGGCTGCCAATGCCCTAAAAAAACTCCAAAAACCCAAGCGGCTAGTCTGACGTTGGAGCCTAAAAGAGAACACTGTGGCTATTCTGGTTTGTAAAAACTACACAGGAATAAACATCATTGCTAAGGAGAAGATAGAAGGAGCATTCTCAAGCGAGTGCGCAACGACGTCGCTCTGCGCCTGCCCCAGCATCGGGTTTAGGTTGCAGGGAGCCCCCCACCCAGTAGAGAACCAGGCTGTGGGCTTTTGGGGTTTCGGGTTTAGAGGGGTTATGGGGGTTTCTGGAGTTTAGGGTTGTGGCAGATCAGAGATTTGAAGACTTTATGTAGAGTTTAGGAACAATGGTCTTCCCTTTGCTCGTCGCGGTGACGAGAGCGTTGCCGTCTGCTATCCGGGCGTTGAACTGGACCTCTGGATACGCCACGACGCAGCAAAAATCATCTTTAGGGTTTGCCCCTCTCTGCTTGAACTAAACTCCCACGATGCCCCATGCCCCTGAATCTAACCAGGGCTTTGAATTGTGAAATAAGCCCTCAACCGAGGGCCGTAGTCAAAACAACCATGCCCGCATCATTGCTAGGGAACTTGAGCTATCCTAGGGTTAGATATCCAAGTGAACTTGTTGTAGAAATGTAACCTAAGTTCCTTAACAAGAAGCCCAGCTGTCTAACCACCGACAACCCCCCTTCCACCGTCTCATGAAAGCCCAGTGATCCCTTGTATTTGGGGTATAAGTTATGGGTAGGGCAGGTGAAATTACAACTGGTTATGACCGGCTCACAGCGCCAACCATGAACCTAAGATGGTAACCATACGATTATACCAGTATACCAATATACTCCTAATATTATATAGTAGGTTGCAGGGTTCCTTATAAGCAGAATGAGTCCTAAACCTAAAACCCTAAATAAACCCTAAACCCTAAACCCTACACCCTAAATCCAGGGTTCCCTAAGCAGAATGAGCGCGGGCTTGTGGCCTTCTCGAATGCGTTGATCAATGCCTGGCCAAGTGCGAGGCGCAGCTCTCACTCTTCTGCCTTTCTAGAGGTAGCTCCGTGGTCCCTTAGTATGGGTTCTTAAAAGGGGACCCCTTTATCTGCCCCTCGTAGAACCCTATGCAGAAGAAGGGCCCGTACATCAGCACCCATTAAGGGAGGTAGGGGACCATACTTGAGGTTGGAGGCTTGTGCAGGGATGTCGCGGCTAGTGCTCCCTGGGAGTGCTTATGCAGCTCTGATTTGTTGAGGGCTGGGTTCGTATAGATAGAGACGAACACGCGGGCGGGAGCGAGAGAGACACAGAGAGAGAGAGAGAGAGAGAGAGAGAGGAGAGAGGGGGAGGGAGGGAGAGAGGGGAGAGAGGGGAGAGAGGGAGTTATAGGGAGTTATACGGAGGTATAGGGAGAGGGCTTCTGCCCTCAGCGTGCTGAAGCTGCACCCTCCTCTTCCGCGCGCCTTCTCGATGCCCGCCTCGTCGATTGTGTCTTTGTCAAAGCCGGACTCCACCACCATGAACCAGGGCACAGTCTGCACAGTTCGCGTGGAGACAATGTGACCTCGGCATGTTGGGCAGGTTGTTCTACTTCCGGGTCCTGTGACACGAACAGGACCCTAGTTACTCTATTCTAGAACACCCTCCATGTCCCTCGGCTTCGATTCCGCTCTCTCAACATGCACAAGGCCGTGCTTGCATTCTGCATGAGAAGGCCCGGCACACCACCCACCGAAACTCAGATGGGCATGCATGAGACACACTCACTAATACCCCTCGACCCCAAACCTCCTAAACCCTGACCTTTTGAACCCAGGCTCAATCCTGTCCAGCTGGCAGAGTTTGACCCCTAAACCCTAAACCCTAAACCCTAAACCCCCTCATCGGGAAGCCCTGAGGCTCCGGCCAAAGGGGCCATGGCCATCAAAAGTGCAGATCTGGGAAGGTGCGCAGAAGGATTTAGGGTTTAGGGTTTGGGGTTTAGGGTTAGAGGCAACAAGAGCACTTTCGGGTCTGGGACAAGGATCCTTTTAGGGAATTGGGCTTGAGGGTTTTTAGGGGGTTCAGGGTTTCTAGTTTCTAGGGCATAGGGCTTTCGGGGTGAAGGGCTCTTTTTCGTGAACTTGAACCCCGAGCCCCCACCAAAAGAGAAACGCGGTGCGCTACTCCAGGACATTCCAAGAAGCCAGTGTGTAGCCACTCTTGAAGTGCGTCACAGAGAAGTTGTCCTGGTTCGGCGAGGTATCCTGCGAGAGCATACGCACGCCTCTAACGTCCGGAAACTCCTGACCCTAGACCCTAAACCTCAACCCCTTTAAACCCTAAACCCTAAACCCTAAACCCTAAACCCTAAACCCTAAACCCTAAACCCTCAGGCCTGCAGAAGTCCAAGGAAGGAAAGGTACGAGTCTTTGTGATCCCTAAACCTCAGAGGGCCCTCTAACCCCTTGATTCAGGAATAGCCCTTATGAACGACGGCCGGGATCCTATTTTCTGAGGTTGGGACTGCTTCCTTGGTTCTGGAGTATTGGCCTCTCTGTGCGCGCTGCCACTCACGAGGCACCACCCTGGCCTATCAGTTCCTGGTACATCTTTTTGCTTTCAAGGTCGATACCGCCCATTAACCCGAGCCCGGAAGGGCATCCGCAAGACGAATCACAAAATCGGTGGGCCTTGAAAATCCCGTTGGAAAATGTTATGAAAGGCCGGAGAATTAAATTAGGATTTTTTGTTTTTTTTTGGGAGTTTTTTTTTGTGTTTTTTGCTTTAGGGTTTAGGGTTTAGGGTTTAGGTTTTAGGGTTTAGGGTTTAAGTTTTAGGGTTTAGGGTTTAGGGGTTTAGGGTTTAGGGTTTTAGGGGTTTAGGGGTTGAGGGGTTTAGGGGTTTAGTTTAGGGTTTAGGGTTTAGGGTTTAGGGTTTAGGGTTTAGGGTTTAGGGTTTAGGGTTTAGGGTTTAGGGTTTGGGGTTTGGGGTTTGGGTTTTGGGGTTTGGGGTTTGGGGTTTGGTGTTTGGGGTTTGGGGTTTGGGGTTTGGGGTTTGGGGTTTGGGGTTTGGGGTTTGGGGTTTGGGGTTTGGGGTTTGGGGTTTGGGGTTTGGGGTTTGGGGTTTGGGGTTTGGGGTTTGCCAGTAGCAAGAACAAACAACAAAAAACTCACCCAAAAAATAGAACTCCGTTATGAACTACATGGGGCCCCTTATAAACCCAAACTAGGAAAATCTTTTACATATCCCGACGGCCAACCTGGCAAACACCTGCTCAACCCGCCGATCGCCAGATAATGGGAAGCCTGAGCCCTAAACCCTGAACCCTGAACCCCGATGGTGGACTTGCGCGCGTCCTTGAAACCTTTGCAGCCCTTCCTCAGTCGCCATGGGGCATCGGGTCATCGGGGCTCAGGCAGAGACATTTGGAGACGCTTTTGGCTCGGAAAGGGGGGGCCCTAAACCCTGAGCCCTAAGCCATCTTGTCAGAAGTCCGCACGACCCCATGTAGATGACAAGCGACAACCCGGCCTTGATTGGGGGGTTTGGGGCACCTTATTTGGTCCTTCTTATGAGGGGATCCTACTAATTTGGGGCTATTTTCGTCAATTCCCATCTGCTTAAAATTGCCATCCAAGGTTCTGGCAGGCGATCAGGGGAGGTGGGTCAAGGGGAATGTTGCCCCACATCACGCGCTCGCGCTCATCTCCATGCTGCTGGCCCTCCGTGATCAGGCCATGCGTGTGTCCCACCACCTGCCACTTCCAGGGCTCCCCAGCCCCCCTCTCCACCCCCTTCAATATTCAATGCTTCCTGCTTGCGCCTCATCTGCAGACCCTCTGCAAGCGTCCTTACTTAGATCGCCCGAAAGCTGCTTGCGGACCCGCCCTGAAGACAAGGCAGAGCATGGCCTTGGTCTTGAAGGTCTCGTCTAGCACGTCCTGCACGAAAGCATCCCCCCCAAAACAGCCCCAGACCCTTTTCTAGGGGTCGGAATAAGTACTAGAAGTATTCCCTTAAGGTCCCTTGATATTTATACTAAAGTAACCCCAACACCCTCTTCTAATTCTTCAGGCGCCTATATGAAACGCCCGCGGCTTAGACGCTCAAAGTCGCACAAGGCAGGCAAGGGTGCGGTTGAGGGTTTATGGTTCAAGCGTACCATGACTCAGGGACTGGCTTATTTTTTTGGGCGCAACCAGGAAAACAGAAGCACTATATGCTGAAGGTATGAAGTTACAGGGGGAAATATGGTTGCAAGCCCTAAACCCCAAACCCCAAACCATAAACCCCAATGCTTGGGGTCTCTTGTGTTCTCACTCCAAGAAGGCGCCCACCCTAAACCCTTTTGCCCTAAACCCTAAACCCTAAACCCTAAACCCTAAACCCTAAGCCCCAACAGATCCTGTGGGATGACTCCGAATGCGAGGCTGACGGAGCCATGGCGGTACCGGGAAAGAAGGTGCTGCTGCATCTCTTCCTGGGAGCGTGGGGTTTAGGGTTTAGGGTTTAGGGTTTAGGGGCATGAACATTCATCGAATCAAGGTTAACTTCTCAGACGAACGTTGAAGATTCTGCTGAACCAGATACTAAAAAGCCAGAAGCCATGTTTGGTTGAGCCCCTCGTCCAATCCTCCTCCTCTTTCCTCATCGAAGGCCCCCTAAACCCGCACACACGCACACGTGCGCTTGGATTCTCATTGAACGGTACTCCTGCCCTAAGTCTACAAGGGGTCCCTATCCCCGAGGCGATGTTCTTTGGAAAAAATATTGGCAGGGAAGGCCGATCATTGAGGGGCTGTGTCTTGAAATAAGTTCGCAAGGGAGGCCCTGAGCCCTAAACATAGGGGCCATAATAACTTGCCAGGGTTTGGGGGGGGGGGGGGTAGAAAACCATATTTATAAACGGGCCATAAGGGCATACTATTAGTACTTATTCCCCTGTAGTAAGCCCTAGACCCTAAACCCTAAACTCTTTGAACTGAGTCGGCGGCCAACTGCTTCTTGCTGTCCTCGCTCAAGTTCAGGTCGCCGCCTCGGTCGTCTCTCAGTGTCTCTCTGCAGCTATCTCTTAGTCGCCGAGTTCATGAAAAGCCCCCCCCCCCCCCAAAAAAAAAAAAAAAAAGTGTACACTTTCAGTTCTATATGGGATTATAGGTATCCCAAAAGGTGTAAAGTGTACTCATTCAGCTACTCAGATCTCTACATCTGCATTTGAACTCTTGAGGTTCAGGTCTTTCTCTGTATAGCGCCAGACAGGCGGGTTCAGTTCATCTAAACCCTGGAGCTTCCCGATCATAAAAAACATGGAGGGGCTTTAGGCTTTAGGGTGAGGGTTTCGGGCTCGGGTCAGGGCTTCAGCGGCATTCTTGCTAGGCTCCAGGAACAGCATGTTCAGAGCTCCCCGCCACGCCCTAAACCCGGTATGAATCACTTCGACCCTCGGAGCCGGGTCCACAGCTTGCCAAGACAAGCCGCTGCAAGAATCGGGTCGTCCATCCCCTCTACTTCTCACGCAACTTCACCAGAGCAAGACGTTGCAGACACAGAAAAACCGCGAGCCACTCCGTGCCCCCAAAGATTGCAGCTTGTTCAAGGCTTCAGGGTATTAACTCCCCCCCCCCCCCCCCCCCCGGCTTCCCCTCCCCATCCCCCGCAGCAAAAAAATCAAGAAACACGAAAACGCAACAAAACCCGCCATGACCAAAGGAGGTGCTTCGATCCCTAGACCCTAAGCCCTTGCAGCTCAGCCGCGTCGGGTGCAGTCGGCCGGAAGGGTCTGGGCACGCTTGGAGTTGCGGAGGTCGCCTTCGCTTGGACTGCCGTGTAATCTTGGAGCCTGAAGAATTAGAAAAGGGTTTAGGGTTGTTACTATAGTATGTAGTATAAATATACATATTTATATATTTTGTCTAAAAAAACCATCAGATTAGTATTTATTCCGACCCCTATATTACCCTGTTTGGGCCGCTTAGGGTTTAGGGCTTCGGGTGACAAGGAGCCATATACACCCCTTTCCGGAACTTAAGCACAGCTCCCACAAAATGGATGCAGGGTTAATAACCTATTTTCTCCTCATGATGTATTTGAAGCTCCGTAGCAGTAAGCCACAGGTGTTGACTCCCTATGCCACATCCCAAATCCTTCTCCGGACCGCTGAAGTCTCACAACCCCCAATGCCCAAACCAGAGACCCCAATACTCATCATTTAAGTAATAGTCCGTGACCTCAGATTCGGAATCCGAGTATGATGCCCTTCGAAAAAAAACGACCCCTTATGTTCCCCTTGCATGCCCTGTACAACCCAAGGGCCCATACATCAGAACCCTTTAAAGGAGGTAAGGGCCCTTAATTAAGCGCCCATGAAACTACCTTAGATATCAAGGGGCTCGAAGGCCTAAGCCCTAAACCCTCGACATTCCTTGCTTCCTGGTCTAGTGGAAAGCTCGTCCAAGAATCTGAAGTCGGGGTCTGCATTCGTTCCCGCCGCGATGGTGAATCCGCGATTGGCCTGCGGATTCAGAGGTAGGATTCAGGTTTTGAGTGTGTATATATATATATAATATGTAGGGGCTATTTATTCGGGGGCGTATTAACCAGCTTTGGCTCAGGTTTCAGTCATCTTGTGGCATCTGTCCATCCCCCAGTCCCAGATTCATGCCACCTGAACTTTGAGTTTCCACTCCTGGTTTAAGGGTCAGGGTTTAGGGTTTAGGGTTTTGGGTTTAGGGTTTAGGTTTAAGGGTTTAGGTTTAAGGGTCTAGGGTTTCGGGTTACATGGGTGCTCGAGTCGGGGGAAGGTATGACGCTCCGACGACTACGCCTCGTTCCGCGAATACTAGAAACACTTGCAGCCCCAATGTTAAACATTCACGTGTGAGCACATCAGCACTGTTTGATATTAGGACGGAGGGGGGGGGTGAGGAGTTTTCATAATCGTGGGTCAGGGTTCGATAACAAGTCTGAACGCGGGGGGAGCGGTTTGGCCTGACCGACTCACACAGCGACATGTGCGGCAAAGGCCTTGCGCCCTTCCAGCATGCGCTTGTCGACATCAACCCCGTCACCTTGGGCTGTCGGAGCTTGCTGGGACGTCGAGTCGTGGATTAGGGTTTAGGGTTGAGGTTTTAGGGTTCCCCCCCTTTCCGGGTCGTAACAGTGTCACAACCATGTGGGTTGTTGTCAAGATGCTTGTTCCCGAAATTGACGTTAAATCGGAACTCCCTCGGTGCCGCCTTATGTCCTGAAGGAAAGAGAAGCTGATTGAGATGGAGTAGCAAACGCGACAATTGAAGGATCCAAGCATGATTTCCTAGAAAGGGTGCTAGCGCGGACAATTTTTCAGGCGCTGCTGTCGGACGAGTCGTCACAAGAACTGGTAGTGTTACTGCTACATACTGCTACTGTTGGAGTTCTGGCGCGAGCGAAGGTTTCTCCGCTGCCGCCACTTGCGGGGCTCGAGCTCCAGCAAGCATAGCACTCTCGGTTCTATGGTGTTCTTTTTTGGTCTGCTAGAGGAGGAATGGGCCATGGTCTGCGGGGGAAGGCTGCGTTGACATTTTGCTAGCGCCGTGCTAGCGCGGCACTAGCGCCAAACACTGTGCCGGATTTTCCAAGATCTGATACTGCGACGTGATGAACCACAAAAACAAGCCAGGAGCAGCAACTGCACCAAGTATAACAAGAATATCGTGTCTTTCTTGTCATCGATTTTCCTAGAAGAACCTCTATCCTGGCAACAGGGGCCCCGTCAATTCATAACTAAGAGGCGCGGGGTTATTACACCACCCCGGATGTTGTACGCATATTTCGGGTGGTGCGCCTGGCTGGGCCTCCTCAATCAATCTCTGTTGGGTTCGCTTAGTGGTGACATGCGAAATTTGAAATAATTTTTCTTGATTTCACCTAGCGCGAACCTAGCGTTTTCCTAGCGCCACACTGGGGGTTTAGGGGATCCCCCTCGGTGCCGCCTTATAGCAAAGACATGAAAATAGACCGGCCAAACCAATTAATGTAAATTAAAGTAACTGAGCAGACACGCGAATTTTGAACGCAACCCATGTCCATGTGGGGGATTAGGAAAATAGGGACCCCTAGAATAGCCCGCCCAACTAGTAGGATGCCCCTTCTAAGAAGGAACCTAACAAGTTACCCGGAATCCTCCATCTAAGGGAGGGCAAGAGCAACAGCTGTCACACCCTGGGATAGTTGAGCACTACAACGCGCTCTCCAAGGCATGGTGCCCAGTTCTCCTAACTTCGGTGTACCTTCTTGGGGACCTGATTATAAGGGAACCCTACTATTTGGGGGATCTATTTTGGGGGGTCCCCTAGATGGCTCCGGATCACAATGGGAACCGTTAACCGGGGACCATCATGTGGAACGCTGGCCACATGACTTTCTCCGAAGGTCCACTGTCTCTGTGCAAGGGCACATTGGCCGAATTCACAGGCGCGCACCTTTTGAACCCTAAACCACACTAAAGATCCCGCAACTTTCCCCGCCAGCGCCGTTCTGACACTTCTTGCGGTTGGTGCGATCACTGGTCGGGCTGCAGCACCGCGGGATCCAGCTACGACGGGGCTGCGTTGCCACCGCCAAGCAGCCAAGCCACGTAGCCACTCTCGGGTTTGGGGTTTAGGGGTCGGGGGGGGGAGGGGGGGGCATAGTGCCTCAAGGTGTGAAGCCTATGCAGGTTGTCTCCTCACCACTGCCTGCTGTCAAACTTAAACAGAACACCCCAAAGGTTCTCTAAGTTAGCCCACCCTTCCCGACGGCGGCTTAGCTGAAGGTGGACGAGCGCAACGGACGTGGCCCGAAGCCTGACTAGAGCACTTCTTCCGCCTTAGGGGGATCCTGGTCTCAGGCTAACCCTCGATCATCCTAACAACTGTACTACTATATTGTTCCATTCCTCGACTATTCTCTCTTGAGACTTTTATCTTTCACCAAGATTATACTTTTACCTCATTATACTATGGCTCTGGCTGCTACCCTAAACCCTAACCCTAAACCCTAAACCCTAAACCCTAAACCCTAAACCCTAAACCCTTAGGCCACTTCTCCGCGGTAGGAGTCTCCCATCAGACCTCACAGGCCGGGCAGTCCGTCTTGCAGCGCCGGATGCCTTAATGCTGCTTAGCAGGGAATGGGGGAGCTAGGGCCTCTATGTATACCCTTAAAGGGATTATCTAGGGCACCTCATCCCAAACCCTAAACCCTAAACCCTAAACCCTAAACCCTAAACCCTAAACCCTAAACCCGAAACCCTAAACCCTAAACCCTAAACCCTAAACCCTAAACCCTAAACCCTAAACCCTAAACCCTAAACCCTAAACCCTAAACCCTAAACCCTAAACCCTAAACCCTAACCCTAAACCCTAAACCCTAAACCCGAAATTCCCTGCTAACCAACAGTGCCGGGTGCAGGTGTCGGCATCCGCCTGGGAGATCGTCGCGCCCAAAGACCTGGAGATCGCCATGCCGGAGGCGCAGATGGTGTTGATCTCCTCGGCTGGCTGCTAGAAGCCCTGTGAAAACAAATGCTCCTAAATATAGTCCTCTTACACCCAATTAAGGGAGCAGTATATATGTATATATACATATACATATATATATATGTGTATATATATATATATATACATGTGTGTATACATACATACATATTCATACATATACATATATATGTGTATATATATATATATATATGTGTGTGTGTCTACATACATACATATTCATATATATATATATAGCCCAAGACCCCACCGAGTCTCAAGGAAGTTCACGCCATCATAGAGGTTGGAGCCGGTGATCCACGAGGCGATGTCCTTGTTCAGCTCCTTAGTTGTCCAGTAAAACCTGGGGGAATTTGAAGGTTTACCTTTGGGATTCTAAATTGGGATTAGAATACCCCAAAAAAGGGTTACAGGTTACCTACTCTACTACTTACCCACAACAAAAGGGTAAAAAGGTTACCTACTCTACTACTAAGATTCAGTGCTCTGCTTCATCAGGAACTTCTGCTGAATGAAGGACTGGACCATGAAGAGGTCCCCAGAACCGCGCTCCTTTTCCATGGTCTTCTCCACATAAGGCTTCACCTTCTCCTTTGCAATGAACTTGAAGAACCCTAGAAGAATTCGAACTCGAGCTGTTTCTTCAGGAATTATATTTATAGCACCCAAATTGAAAAACATATTCCCAGGTATCCCTTAGTCTCGATGCTGTCTACACTGCTTTTCCAGTTGCTCTCCACGCAGTCGTCATAGATGGCCATCAGGTGCCCTCCGTTGCTCAGCGCGCCGGCGGCCATGGCCCCAGCAAGGGTCATGTTGCGCAGCTTGGCGCAGTCCGACTCAAACGCAACCCCGGCATCTGTGAAAGGCTTGACGAACTCCTAAGGTTGCCCCTTAAGCCTTAAGACCCTCTGGCAATTATTCCCGAAGAGGGTTTAGGGTTTAAGGTTTAGGGTTTAGAGAAAATATTCCTGAACATGATCCTCTCTTAAACCCTGTGAGGGAAAGACAGAAGATGTCCCAAGGGCCTACCGAGACTCTTCGTCAGTGCAGTCTTTGGAGTCGTAATTGATGAAGCCCTTGTCCGCGCAGTGCCCGACCATGATGATCACCAGCTCATCAGGGTGTTCACCAACCCAGTCAACCAAGCCTGGCAGTTCTCCGGGCAGTGTCTGTTGCGACAACCAGTTGAAGACCGGCGTTTCTCCGTGGTGGAAGTAGATCTTGCCATCGTGTTGCGCCAGCCGCAAGTCAAAGGCCCGAGCCCCGCAGTCCAGCTGCGTCTTGAGGTTCACGAACTGCGCCTGCGCGAACTTGCTGAAGATGATGTCCTTCTTCCCGATGTAGCCCGTAGCCGAATCATGGGTCATAAGGAAATGGGATGCCGAGAGCTTCGCGCTCGGATCTGGCTTGTAGGGTCCCGCGTCGAGGAGTCCGAGGGAGATGTCGCAGGAGCAGGCCCACGTCTGGTCCCCTTCCGCCCGGCGCCGCGCGCAGGGCTGGCTGGAGGGATCGGAGAGACACCTATACTCCCCTTAGAACCTTAACAAACATATTATTCTTAAGAATATCCTGAATTGGGCTTTATTTCAAAACAAGAAGAACAAAAAAACATTCCCAAGACAGATAGAGACACAACCCCCCCAGCATGCCGCAAGCCTCCTCACAGGTGTAGTTTGCCGCAACTTTGGTCATCTCGCGGCGAGACAGCTCCTGGAGGCCTTGCACCTGAATGTTGCCCGTGTTGGCCTGCAGGAGTCCTGTTGCGTCTGGCTCTCCACAGGTCCCATCTGCCGCGCACTCCTATACTCCCCCTAGAACCCACACGCATTCCCACTAAACTCCCCTTAGAACCCTAATAAAAATAATATTCCCAATATCCTCTTGGGTTTTATATGAACAAAAGTGAAGAAATCATTCCCAAGGGGGATTTAGACTCGCTCCCAACAGCTCGGGCGACCAGGGCGGCGAGCAAGAAAGGCATCGGGCCGCACTTCATGGCTGCTGGCAGACGCCAAGGCTCAGTTCTACTATGTGCTTAAGAGCCCCCCCAAAAAATAACAATGTCAATGCCCTTATAAGGAAGAATACATTCTTTATTTTTTGGGGGTTCTTAAGCAGTTAGTAGAGTTCTGGTTTGTGGAGCCAAGCTCGAGTTTGAAAAGAGGGTTCGACTCTCGCACTCGCACGAGGCTCAAAGGAACTCTTCCGTATCAAGACGCACGTGGTGAATTCTCTCAATTATGATCCCTCTTGAGGTTATACTATAAGGCCAGGGTACCCAAAAAGGGAGCATGATTTTGAGAACTGACCAGGTGCTAGCCCTAAACCCTAAACCCTAAACCCTAAACCCCAAACCGCACTTTTTTGCACTCCTTCACAGACCCAGTCGCATTTGGCCGCAGCATCGATTCCGTCGAACACAAGCTTGCGGGTCTTCGACTCCTGCGCGGGGAGGACATGCAACGAACCGGGCCCAATATACCCTATGTACCCCATGTGAACCCCTATGTAAACCTAATATCAACCCTATATAAGCCCCCACATTAACCCTATAGAGACCCTATATGAACCCTTTCTAAAAACGATACAAACCCTATGTACACCGTATATAAACCCTACGTAAACCCTATATAATGCCCTATACAAGCCCTACAAAGACACCTGCGAGACCCCCATGTAACCCTCCCCCCCCCCGCTTCTAAACCCTATAAACCGATGATTGCCCTATGGAAACCGTATGGAAACCCTATGTAAACCCCATATCATGCCCTCCACAAGCCCAAATTGTGCCCAGGTCCTCGCCATCCTCCTTGTCCGACTCAAACCGAGGCGAGTTGGGAGCACCTTGAGAAGGGTTTAGGGTTTTTCAGGGTCGACCCTTCTACCCTTGCTGTGTGCAACGTGCCAAAAACCCCTACTTCCACTTTCCCGGAGCATTAACCATTTAGGGCACTTGCGAGAGCTGGTTCCCTTGGAGCTGTCTGTGTACTTAGAGGCGTTGTGGCGCTTGCAAGGCTCCAGAACGACCAATTCTGGCTTTGGGGCCTATAGCCCTAAACCCTAAACCCTACGACCCTACAACCCCTATAACCCTACAAAGCTTAGGGTTTATAGCCCAGCCCGGCCTGCCGCCATTGTTGGATGGAAGCGAGTTGCAAGGAATGGTCACTTGAGATCACTGGAGTGCCCCCTCTTTCTTGAGCAAAGGAGCGCTGAGGCAGTTCCCCTTTAGCACAGGTTGTAGGGTGTAGGGTTTAGGGTTGGCTTTTAGGGCTTGAGGGTCTATAGGTTTTCGGGGGTTTAAAGTTTAGGAGTACGCGACACGGGATTTCTTAGGGTTTTATTAGGGTCTTTTAAGGGTTTCTTAGGGCCTTCGGAGTCCCCTGATACAAGGTCTCCGGGTTTTAGGGATCAAGTTTCGGTCAGGCAAAGTGACTAAGCCCAACTTCTCTGACGTGGATGGACATCGCCTGATTTGGAGACTCATGGCTTCTGCAGATCAACCCCAAAACCCTAAACCCTAAACCCTAAAGCAGCCTTGGGAAGGGAGGGTCGAGGGCGGGCCGTGTTTGTAGGGTAATAGGGGGTTTCAAGGCGGAAACCTTCGCAACTGTTTTGGCTCCTGTGTTGCTGTTGTAGATGATAACAAGTTCAAACTGTATTCATACATACCCCTACTTCCTCACAAGCCTAACCTCTAAACCCTACTTCCTCACAAGCGTATACTTCTCAGTACCCTCCTGAACCCGCGCAGTTTTCCACCCAAGGCTAGCCGAGGCCGTCGGTGGTCAAAAGCGTCACGACGCACTGTGCCACAGGGTCTCCCGACCTGGGCTTTCAAGGGTTTAGGGTTTAGGGTTTCCTGGGCCCAAGGGGCGGGCACTCCGTAGGTCCGGAAACTCATTGCCTGCTTTTTTCAACGCAGAAAACAAGGCGCCCCGGCCTGAGACACCTCAAATGATCCAGCCGAGATTCAGCACCTCTGAGGGGTCCTGGACCTGGCAAAGGGCATGGTCTCTTGGCGCAGCGAAGTTTAGACCGTAAACCCTAAACCCTAAACCCCAAACCCCAAACCCTAAACCCTAAACCTGAACCCTAACCCCCCCCCCCCCCCCCCCCCCTTCCTTGACGTGCAAGCTGTGCCCTGTGCAAGGCTCCGATCACCCTGCCTTGCGCAGGAGCAAAGCGTCGATGGCCGCTCGTAGGCGCTGGATCATGGCGACAACCTCACTAGGCAAAACAGAGGGGTTGCCGTATTCGGGTTAAGATGGACTAGGGTTCAGATGGGTTTAAGGCGAATAGTAGGCTATTAGGGCGAAGATGGGTTTAGGGTCTAGGGCTGTTAGGGTTTAGATGGGTTTAGGGTTGAGGGTTTCGGGTCACAAAAAGGCTTTCTTTCGGGTAAAGACTCTGACAAATTCGGTCTGGGTTTAGGGAGTTTCCCGAAACAGTGCTTGCGCTCTGGGGTCCTATACGAAGAAGTGAGAGCACTGCTAGGTCCGCCCCGCGGCTGCCCCTTTTCCCTCCTTTTCCCCAAAAACCCCCTTCTTCTTTTTTGCAACCGGTCTCATTGCTGCCAAACCCTAAACCCCAAACATTCTTGAACATGATCCCCTCAACCCCAATAAGGGAAAATACAAAATGTCCCAAGGGCCTACCTAGCTGTTGTGCATCGTCAAAGCCTTGCTTTCGCGACGAAATCTGCAGGTGTGAGGCTCATGGGTTCGTAGGGGCCGAGTCCCTACTATCTGCTTGCGAACCCCCCCCCCAAAAAAAAAAAGATTAAAACATATTCATCCTTACACATGCAAAAACGTAGGGATTCTCAACTGTCATTTGTTGAGGGTGTTCTTAAGCAAACAGTAGTTTCCATAGGCTTGGGATCTTTTGCTTTTCGCTTGGGGGTGGTATGAATTGAAACCGTGGCTGCGGTGGTGCTCCCACCCGCGAAGTCTGCCCAGCCGTCCACCGCCACCTCTGCCTTGTGCATCATCAGCGGGTCAGGGTTTAAGGTTTAGGGCGAAACTGCATAGGGGTTCAAAGTTTTGGGTTTAGGGCGAAAAATCATGGTGACTGTTCGTCAGGGAAGTCGGCCATCAGACCGGGCACGGTGCCTCCTACTCCTCTCCACCCCTTTAAGCCCTAAGTCCTTTTCCCTAACCCTGTGTGACCCCTTTGAACCTGAACCCCTGCGCCTCCTTGTGATTGACCTGGAGGTCTCCGCCAAAGAGGAGCAAGGCGTAGACCTTTCAAAAAGGGGGTCCAAGAACCACATGCCCACAATTACCTGGCATGTTTAGATAGCCAGAAGAGCTGAATTTAGGGTTTAGTCGCTCACTCTCGCACAAGGCCGGCAAGGTTCATGGGGTCACTTCCTCTCTTAGGGTCTAGGGCTTCTCACGTGGCCTGCACATGTTCTGCATCCTTCCCGCGGATGAAAGACGGAACGAACACATGACACCTGCCTCCACCTCCAAGCAACTGCAAGAACAATCAATCGCGCGCAAGCCCAAACAACCCTATGATATGGGGAGATGTTTTGGAAGCGCCCCTGACTTAGAACGACCCCCCTTTTCAGGGGGCTGCTCTCTCAGTGCTGCCCAGGGCACGGAGGCTTCCGAGCAGCCGGTGAGAACTAGCTTGGTCGGATGCCGTGGGTTACCTGGGCGCAGTTTTGAACTCGCGCAAGGCGGGCATTAGTAGGGCTTGGGTGGGTGCCCCCAGAAACGGTTTGTTGTTGGGATGTTCCCCCCCTATTATAATCCCTAATAGTCCCTATGAAGGACTGTTCGTATGAGGGGGAACATCCCTAGTTTAAGGGTTTAGGGATGCCAACGCCTTCATGTTCTGGCAAGCAGCTCTGTTGCTGGACCATCTTGTCCTGAGCCAAGGGCAGGAGTACAGCTGCTCTGAAAGCTCCCAATTTCCAAACCAGCCAAGAAACCCCAACAAAAGAGCCCTAGACCCTGTAAATCCTGAAGCCGCATCTTCCCATTCCACTTGAACCAACCACCAGCCCCCGATCAGGCAAGCTTTATCCTCTATCGTTGAGGTCATTCGGAACCCTCTCTTGGGTTCTGAATTCGATAGAAACACTAGAATAATATAGAACTCACCAAGGGGACTACGAACCTTGTAGGATTTTTGCCGGGATTCGGAACTTGAGTGCTTTACCTTGCCTCCTCTAAGCTGGGCTGGGTTTGGGGCGCCCTCTACAAACATAGCTTTTTCTTGGGTTTAGGGTTTAGGGTTAGGGTTTAGGGTTTAGGGTTTAGGGTTCAGGGTTCAGGGTTCAGGGTTCAGGGTTTAGGGTTTAGGGTTTAGGGTTTAGGGCTTAGGCCCAGAGAGCTCCGCAAAGCTGCCCCACCATTTTGTGTTGCGCCCAGGCGCAGAGTACATCACGTAGGGGCAGGCGTAGGAGTTCTCCTTGAACCTGGGCTCTGTCTGTTGGAGGCTCTCCTTGCTGAATACCCCAGCTCAAAAAAGGTTAACCTGCTATATGTAGTAGGACTGTATAAAGCCAAAAAGGTGAAAGGTGACCTACCCAGTCCCTAAGGCAAACCCCAGAACCTCAGAACTCGATCTCTGCTTGCTGCACGGGGTGCAGCAGGGAGGAAGGGTGGAGAAAGGCGCGGAGCCGTGGAGGACGGGCACCCGACACCTGCAGCCGTTCGCATTCAGCCGTTCGCATTGAGGGGGTGGGTGGTGATTTGGCGATGGGGGGTTTTGCTGCATGTGGCAGTGGCTGTTCTGTCGGATGTCAGACGTGACTTTAGGCTTTTCTTGGGACGACTCTGACATCCTCTCGTTTGGGAGGCTGACTGGTTCCTAGTAGGAATAGTAGGGAATGAGGGAATGGGGTACCCCTAGTAATTCTGTAAATAAATGTTAAAAAAAATATATATATATATATATATATGTATATGTATGTTTATAATCCATTCAAGGGAAAAATATAGGGTACCTCATTCCCAAATCTCCTTCTAAGAAAAGAGTTGGGGGGTCTCTCCAGCCTCTGTGGCGCCTTCCTCCCGGATCCAGTATCGGATCTCCCGGGCGTCGTTGCTCACTTGGATGGATCCGGCGAGGCTGTCCTGAGTCGGTTTGGGGTTTAGGGTTTAGGGTTTAGGGTTTAGGGTTTAGGGTTTGGGGTTTGGGGTTTGGGGTTTAGGGTTTGGGGTGTAGGGTTTGGGGTGAAGTTCTACGAGTTCACTGAGGAGAGCAATGAGAGATGATCTCCTCCCCCTAGTATTAACCCCCCCCCCCCCTACCCCCCAATCTTACAATACCCCCCCCCACCCCCCACCCCCCTCATGTAACCCTAAACCCTAAACCCTAATATTAGGGGGAGGGTGCTTCCCAACCCTGCTCCGCTCACACGTGGCAGCTGCCATGGTTTAGGGTTTAGGGTTTAGGGTGAACCGCCCTGTTACCTGGCACGCGTCTTGGCAGCTCCCAGCACCCAAGCTTCTCTGGGCAGCAAGCACTGAGCACGGACAACAAGCGCAACCCGCAAACCTACGTAGGCACATTGCGCCGCTTTAGGGTTTAGGGTTTAGGGTTTATCGCTTTCCGTATCTGCGGCCCGACCGAGGTGCGCTTGGACCGCCGGCGTGCACGTCCCGTGGCTGGGGCCGGCCAGTGCAAGTGTTCACAGCCACGCAGGGACTTCTAAAGGCTGATGATATAAGGCTCGTTAATCAGGCCCTCTGCGCTTGCGTCCCAAGCCCTCGACCAGTTGCATTGGGCATCTTCTACTTTTATGTTAGCTCAGCCGAAGATTCCCAAACCCTAGCCTTAAACACTCGCTCCGCCAGAGCCCTTGAGCCAATCCTCACGCCCTGAACTTCCCTTTCAATAGAGAATCCTTTAGGGTTTAGGGTTAGGGTTTAGGGTTTAGGGTTTAGGGTTTAGGGTTCAGGGTTCAGGGTTTAGGGTTTAGGGTTTAGGGTTTAGGGTTTAGGGTTTAGGGTTTAGGGTTTAGGGTTTAGGGTTTAGGGTTTAGGGTTTAGGGTTTGGGGTTTTTGGTTTGGGGTTTAGGGTTTAGGGTTTAGGGTTTCCCCACACCCTCTGTTGCTTCCAGATTCCCTGCTTTTTCTACATCCGAAGCCATAGGTCCTACATCCCTGGTAGCCCACAAAAGGCCAGGCGGCGGTGAACTTGAGCGGGGGCCGCTCCACTTTGGAAACCTGTGGGTATAGCCTGAGTTGAAAGTGTGAAATGCCAGATGGGTGTACAGCTTCAGGGTTCAGGGCGCAGGGTTTAGGGCTGTAGCACCTGAGTAGGCCCGAGCACCGAGGAAACTGAAGTGGCCTCGTAGCTGAGGATCGAGATCATGAAGGACGACCCTCAACCAGCCGGGGCCATACATGAGACATGGCGACGAGGTCTCATGCTTGTCTTCATCCTGGATTTAGGGCTCTCTTTTTTATGGCCTCCCGCCGAGCCGAAGGAAAGTCCACAGTGTGGCATATATGGCATATTCGGTACGTGGTTCTGCAAGGGATGTCAGCGACCTGCCTGTTTCTCGGCCCCAACCCCAAGGAACAAACCCCGGGCACGAAGAAACAGTACTCGCCACCCACGCTCGCCCACTCTGCTGGCCCATTCAATGTTCACTCTCAGCGCCCCCGAAACAAGCGGCGTAGGGTTTTAGGTTTTACATGGCGAAAACACTTTCCGAGCACATCGAGTCGTCTATTCAAGACTCCAGAGATTTGCCTGGCCGTAGGGCATCCACACCGCCAAACCAACACCCGCAGGCCAACCAACCAGGCAAAAATCGAAGACCTAGCCATTCAGTGTAGGGTTTTCTCGAGTGGGTTTGGGGGGCCCTAGACCATCGCGCCGGGACAAGGGCCCAAACAGCTTTCACAGCACCCCGAAACCCTAGACCCGCATTTGGCTTGGATAGAAGCTTGAAAAATGGCTTGATTTTGGGGTTTCGGGTCCACGTGCGCTTTGTAGGGTTTGGAGTTTAGGGTTTAGGGTTTCGAGTCTACGTGCGCTTTGTGGGGTTTGTTCACACCGGCTGCCAAGAAGAGCCAAGCGACCCTGCCACCACCGCAGCTCGGACGACCTCAGGTGGAGTATCATCAAACTACTGTTTGCTTAAAAAACCCTTTATGACTAATTCTAAAAAATAAGAATATTCTTCCTTATTGAGGGTAATATTGAGGGTAATGTAATATTATCCTTAATATGGAAGAATATTTCTATTTTTTTGGGGGGTTCTTAGGCAATTAGTAGCAAATACCTGGCAGCCGCAGTATAAGGACCTCTAAGGACCTCTCAGCTCGGGGGGGGGGGGGGAGGCTTTCCTTTGCAAACAGGGGCATGAAGAACCCTACTAACCCTCTTTGAAACATGTCCCCGCAAACCCAGAAACCACCCGCCCCCCCCCCCCCCCCCCCACCCAAACAAACAACAAAATAAAAGCAGCAACAACAACAACAACAAAAACAAAAAACAAATAAATAAAAAACCGCGCCCTAAACCCTAAGCCAAACAAAACTCGCTAGAGAAACGTCGGCTGAAACGCGGGCCAGGGCGGCCCTCCAGTCCCCTGCGTTGCAGTCGGCCTCCACCCTCTGGAAACCCAGGGATCGGAGGCCTCTCTGAGGGTTTAGGGTTTAGGACGTTTTGGGGCTCGAGGGGTTTAGGATTCTAGGGTTCTAGGGTGTTGGGAGTTCTAGGGTTCTAGGGTTTTGGGTTCTAGGGTTTTGAGGTTCTAGGGTTCTTGGGTTTAGGGTGTTACTTGGGGGGTTTGCTCTGCGCGTTAAGGAGACTCAGGGTCCTTGCTGGCCCCAAGAAGGCTTGATTTTGGAGATTGTTTAAGGTGCTTCCATGAATTCCCTGGGGCTGGGCCGAAATTTCGTTGGGCCCAGCCCCCCCCCCCCCCCCCCCACCGGCATCGCAGACCCACGCCGTAACACCGACGCAACTTAAAACGAAGCTCAAAATCCCAAACCCTACAGCGGGCATTAGGCGCCGAACCACCAACCAGGCAACAAGCTCAGGCGAAACTAAGCAATAAGAAGGCACCCTCCTTGGTTTCAAGGGGCTTGTAAGGGGAGCCGGAGCCCTAGAAAGAAGGGAGCCAGGGCCTAGTCTGGGTCCTAGTTGGTTCTACCGCTTGCCGAAGAACCCCAAAGAAGAAGAAGAAGAAGAAGCACTCATCCCTACACTACCCCTTATAAGGAAGAGTATTTGTTATGCACCTAGGGGTTCTTAAGCAAATAGTAGGGGTTAGCTTAAGGAGGATGCTCTTGATTCCCTCTGAAAAAATATTCCTGAGTAGCCCTCTTAAACGCAATAAGGGGAAAATACAATAGAGGCCTTGAAACTATCGGAAAAACATTGCTAAATATCCCCTTAACCCAAGAAATGAACATAGAATAGAGTGCAAGCCCTTACAAACCCTTTGAAGCAATATTCCCAAACATCGCTCTTAAACCCAAAAAAGGGAAAGCATAGAAGATTCCAAGCCCGCAATGCCCGCTGAAACCTAAACATCCCTCTCACCCCAATAAGGGGAAAACACAATAGATCCCAAGCCCTTAAAACCGTCTGACATATCCCTCTTCGACCAAAAGAAGGTGAAACAAAAACGGTATCCTCGTAAACCGAACAAGGGGAAGATATGAACGATTCCCAGAGGGCATACCTTCGAAACAGGGGCATCCTCTTAAACCCCAGAAGGTGGAAATATGGAAGATTCCGAGAGGCCCTACCGAGGAAACAGGGCTATCCCTCTTAAACCCAAGAAGGGGAACAGATGGAAGATTCCTTACGGGCTGAATACCCCAGCCACAAGCAAGTTAACCTCTTATAGGTAGAAGGATTCTGCATGACCAAAAAGGCTCAAGGTTTCCTACCCAGTCCGGAAGATTCCCAGAGGGCCCGCCTTGTACTAACAGTCCTTAGGAGGGATTATAGTAGGGGGTACTGTAAACCCCATTAAGGACTGTTAGTATAAGGGAGAACATCCCAACCAAGAAGGGCAAAATATGGAAGATTCCCAGAGAGCCCTAAACCCTAAACCCTAAGCCCTAAACCCTAAACCCCCACCTTAGAAAAGCAGCTGGAGGGCCTCGGAGGAGTTGGGCTCGACTCGCCTCGGCCTCCACCATGCGCTCGTAGGAGAGGCCCAGCTCTCCACCTCGGAGTTTTTCTTTCGGGTTTAGGGTTTAGGGTTTAGGGTTTAGGGTTTAGGGTTTCTGCAGCGCCATCTCCGATAGAGTTTAGGGTTGAGGGTTGGGGGGGGTTCTTTTGGGTTGTTTTTGGGTTTTTAGGGGGGTGGGGTGATAGGGGTGTCGGGCTGTCGGTGTGTTTTGGGGGGTTTTAGGGGTTTTGGGGGTTTATGGATTTTTGTTTTTAGGGGGTTAGTTAGGGTGATGAGGGCTTTCGGGGTGGCACGCGTTTATGTTCTAAGGAGGACCACTATCCCGAACAGTGCCAGAGTAGATGAGCTGGCTTGAAAAGGGCTGGCCGTGCCTGGAGGGGGGCAGCTTTAGGTGTTCAGGTGTTTCGGGTTTTAGGGATCTTATGACGACTGGCAAAGGTTTCCAAGGTTTCTGGCCAGTTGGCGTGGCCTTGCTACCCAATGGCCAGGTGCTCCTGGCGAAGCTATAAACCAGCCGCACATCCCGCTGCCTTCTCCTTCGCTACGAAGTCTGAGTCCCAGGCCACCCCGAGCCCTAAACTCTTCAGCCCCGTCGCAAACACCAACAAACCCCTTGGCGAATCCTCCGACTCTCTGGACCCCTGTACGAACCCCAAGCTTGCAAGTCAGGGCGTAGGGTTCTTTTCGGACCGCAGGGTTGCCAAAAAACCCCCCGAACCCCGAACCCTGGAGTTCGCCGAAGGCTGTACTTTTGTCTTGGCCCGGGACAGAAGGATCGGCGGGCGTTGGAGGCCACGAAGGCCTCGAATTTCTCGGGGCTTACATCTTCCGGGCATGTCAAGACAATTGTTGTCCATTGTAGAGATGGCATCTGAGTTTCGTGTTTGGTGACGTGTAGGCTTTGCTAGCTCCATCGTCGCTTGACTCAGAATAAGAGACCTGTGAAGCCTTGCGCCGTGCTAATGTTGAAAGTTCAGCCTAGGTCAAACTACATGCCGCAGCACCGGAAAGTCAAGACTTCCCTGCCAAGGCAGACTACTTGCAGCCCATCGCGCGCTCTGCACGTGTGTGTCGGAATCCCACATCCCGCCACGACAGAACATCACACCTCAAGCCCACTGCCCTAAACCCTAAACCCTAAACCCTAAACCCTAAAACCCTAAACCCCAAACCCTCTCAGACAGGCGCCTCCATGATGGCCACCCAAAGGCAGTGGTCGGACTTGCTGCCGCCTTGGCCTCTGAGAGCCTGGAGGATTCGGCACTGACC